AGGAAGAGGCCAGAAGGGCAAGAGTTTCTGTGCCTTTTGGAGAGGGCGTGGCATAAATGAGTGGGAGCCTCAAGGAGCACTGTCCCCAGCTTCTTTGAAAAAGAAAACGCAGTCACATACTAAACAGAGCTCAAGAAAGCCACATTGTTCCACTTTCAAATGAACAGAAAATAAAATTCCTGGACAGATTCCCTCTTCCCACTCCTGGGAATAAGTGGGAAGTGAGTTGAGGCACATTTCATTTTTCTTCAAAAGTCTTTCTTAGTTCCTTGGCTCCTCCTGAGTCAGGCCATCCCCCTCCCATCTGCAGATTCATGACATTCCATCATTCATTCAGCAGCATTTTTTTGCAGGCCTCCAAAGAGCCAAGCCCTGAGCCCAGGAGCCTGAGTGTGGGCCTCAGCTTACTGTTTATAGCATCTGTGGCTGAGACTGACTTCAGCAAGTGTCAAGAGGGCAGACTGACTCCTGGACAGGAGAAATTTCCAGGACATATTTAATGTGGCTCAGGTTTATATCTGCCAGTATTTCTCTGATGATTGTAAGAGTAATGGCTTTGGAGTCCCATGACATGGGTTCTAAACCTATCTTGCTTCTTTTCTAGCCGTGTGACTTTAAGCAATTTGCCTTACATCTCTCAACTTGTTCCCTCATAAGTCAAGTGTTTTGCTAAAAGCTACTTCTCAGGATTTCTAGGAAGACTAGGAACACTGTCTGAAGTAGGCACGATACAAAGACCTGCCAAAGGGAGGAATAATGCAGGCCCACTGGACCAAACCTCATGTGACAAAGCTCCAGGATATGAAATTCAAGGATCCATTGGGCTCAGAAGGCAGATGCTTAGACCAGGAGCCTGGCACCTCTGAGCAATGCCAGCCCCACTATCTCTGGGGATGCTGAGCGCACTCTGCCCTCCTTGAATAGGCTCTAGAAGGTGCCTACTCCCACCTTCTCACAGGACAGATCAGAAACTGAACCCCAGAGAAGGTAGATACTTGCTCAAGGACTCACAGCACAGAGGTGGCTGAGTGTCACTGGAACCTGGACCCTCTGACCATCCAGAAGAGTGTGATGTGCTCAAGAGGCTGGGCGCTGCACCCAAAAAACCTGAGCTACTGTCCCACTCTGCATCCACTCTCATTTCTTCAACAAACACTGAGTGCCTGGCATGTGCTGCCCCGGGCTCAGTGAAGGGGACACAGGGGGATGAAGTCTACGCAGCCCCAGCTCACTCACTGCTCACAGTCTGATGGGGGAGGCAGCACCCAACCAACCAATGAATAAACAAGCCAGTCACCTCTGTGAGGAAGCAGCAAGGAACAGACATGGAGGGCTCCGAGTGACAGGGACAGCGGGGGCAGAAGGGCCATCCGGGGCTTTCAGGGTGGAAATCTCAAGGAGGGGACATCGGAGGTGGGCCCTGGACACCAGGCAGGAGCCAGCAATGCAGAAAAGGGTGACCAGGCAGAGCTGGGTGTGATGAGAAGAGATGAGGCCGTGTGAGTAGGGGACACAGGAGGGATGGGGTCAGGGGGCAGAGGGCAGGTCAGAGCCCAGGGCAGAACATGAGGTCACAGCGAGGAGCTCAGCCCTTGAACAGAGTAGCAGGAGCCCCTGGAGGCTCCAAGCAGGCAGAGGATGGGCTCCAGCCTGTTGTTTCCAGGGGCTGACCTGGCCACTCCTGTTTCTGTGACACTCTGCTGCTCTCTGACCTTGGGCAGGTGGCTTCCACACCTGAGCCTCAGTCTCCTCTCTGTGAAAGGGGGTAACAGGACCTACTTCCTGGGGGTCACTGGAGGCTGACAGGGACAATCCACCCAGAGCGCTTAGTAACGTGCCCCAAGCATCGTAAGTGCTGGATGAAGCACTGCTTCCTCACGTCACACATCCAGGGCCGCCTCCTCTATCATCGGACACAGCCTGGCAGTCCTGTTGCATCTGCCCACGAAACACTGTGACTTCTGCGCTGCCCTCAGCCATGGGGCGTTGAGGCCAAAGCTCATTAAGCTCCTGCCCATCGATGGTCAGCAGGGGAAGTCAGTGGAGCTGAGTGACAGAGAGCAGCCAGGTCCCTTCTCAATGAGGGCTTGCAGGTGGGCTCAGCATCCATCAGAGTCCCGGCTCCATCGCCTGGGTGCCTGAGATGGATAGCACATGCCAGTCAGGGGTGCTAGAGAGGTGCTAGAGAGGTGGTGAGCAGTAATGATTGTCCTGGAAACTCCTGCAGTCAGATTTATTATGGCACAAAGGAGCGATTTTGCTCCTGGCAATAACAGATTTTGCTCCTGGTCTATAGAGATCCAATGTGCCAGGCCTGGGTGGGGAAGGTAGAGGCTTCTACCCACACCTGCTGGCCAGGACTCAGGGCAGAGCCCTATGGGCCATGCATCTCCTGTGCTCTGGGCCACCTCATCCAAGAGGCCTCCACCTGACACCTTTCACAGCCCCTGCAAATCTGTGCCCAGGCCCCAGGGTACAAGCGTGGACTTGCATCCAGAGAACACTCAGGCCTTTGACACCACCCAGGCAGGCAAGGAGCAGCTAAAGGCCAGGCATTGGAGTCAGTCTAGGTGAGTCCTGACTGCCACACAGCAGCCAAGTGACCTGCAATGAGGAAACTCGCCCCCTGAACCTGTTTCCACATCTCTAAAAGGAAGAGTAGAAACCCCTACTTTAAAGAGTTGTGTGTAGGGGCCAGGGATGTAGCTCAGTGTTGCCACACCTCCCTGGCCAAGGTCCTGTGTTCGATCCCCAGTATGAAAAAAAAAGTTGTGTGTATTAAGAGATAAAGGGTACCAAGCATCAAACACAGAAATAGAGACTAAACAAAGGTAATGATCACCATTTTTATCCAGGGACTCCAATACCAATGCTCGAATTACTATATCCCATGATAAACTGGAAATATCCTAAGTTAAAAATAATAAGCTGGAAATATCCTAAGTCAAAAATGCATTTAATCCACCTAATCTACTAAACGCTAGAGTTTAGCAACACAGTACACTGCAGAGTGCCACCTGTTTCCCCTCCTGATCACATGACTGACGAGGAGCTCTGAGAGTACTGTACCACATATCATCAGCCTGGGAAAAGATCAAAAATTCAAAACTTGAAGTATGGTTTCCACTGAATGTTTATCACTTTTGCATCATCATAAAGTCAAAAAAATCATAAATCAAAACATCATAAATCAGGGACCATCTGTGTTCTGATATGAGATGTCTTTTACTGAAGTCAGTTCTGTCACCATGGAGTATGTTAGCTCTTTTTAAATATTTTATTTCTAGATCTCAAAACTAATCTTACAAGTAGGTATCATGTTTATTGAGGGAAGTTAATGGGACCGTTCAAGATCACACTGGTAGGGAGTAGAGCTGGGTGGCTTGTTGATTCTCTGGATATACAGCCCACCCCAGAACTCCCCCAAAGACTATATAAGGTCAGGCAGGCAGACAGGCAGGCCAACACTTCCTCCAAATGCCAAAATTTCTTAAGCACCAGCTCCAAGACAAAACCTTTGCAGAGTAATGCACACAGCAACATGAACACAAAAACACTTCTGCCCTCAAGGAGCTCAACCCTTATAGGGCAAAGAGCAAAGCTGAATCCATACTGCCCAGAACAGGTATGTATCAGTTAGCTTTTGGTACATAACAAATGATCCCAAAACTTACTGGCTTAATAAAGGACCATTTATTATCGCTCCCAATTCTAGAAGTTGGTTGGGCAGTTTCTTCTAAACTTATTCAAGCAGCTGTACTCACCTGACAGGTCAGCTGTCCTGGAAGGTCCAAGATAGCCTCATTCATGGGTCAGGCAGTTGGTATTGACTGCCCGTGGAGTGTGCTGGCTCCCCTCCTGGTACTCTCAAATCATCCAGTAGGTTAGACACACTTCCTTACATGTAGGGCGGAGTTCCAAGAGGGCAAAAGCAAACACTGCAATATCTCTTGAAATCTGGGATCCAGAATTCACATGATGTCAATTCAACCACTTTCTACTGGTCAAAGAGTCACATGCTATTGCTTGGCCAGGATCTGTGTCATACATTTGGGGCCCACCAGGCAAAACAGCAGTCAGTTCAGAATGAGGGTGAGGGGGTCAGTCTAAGTGCGATGATAACTGCCCAGTAAATTTTTAACTCAGATGAAAGGCTGACTCGTGAGGTCATGAGAAAGGGTCATATCCTTTAACCCACAGAAAGTCAGTGTGTAAGAAGAATCAGTATATTATAAAACAGTTTTCATATGCAGAAACAGGCCTTTTTCTTTTTTTTTTTTTTGCAGTACCAGGGATTGAACTCAAGACCTTGCGCTTGTCAGGCAAGCACAGAGCCACTGAGCTAAATCCCAGCCCCAGAAACAGGAATTCTTGCCCAAGGTCATAGAACAAGTTTGTGACAGCCAGGAGTGACTGGTGTCCCTACCAGCCAGCCCTCTCCTCCTTCCATTCCACCTGATAAGGGAGCTTGGGCCGGGAATGGGCTGGACTGGGGCATCTGGATATCTGTGCCCAGCAGGGATGGCCCTCCTCTGTCCCACCTCTGCCTCATGTTGTAAACTGAGCCCTTTCACCCCACCTGGCACCACAGGAAGCCCTTAGTCACTCTCTCATCCAGTTTCACCAGGACTGTCCCCACTTTGCAGATAAGAAACTGAGGCCCAGAGGGGGCAGCTGACTCACCCAGTCTCAAAGCTGGTAGAGCCTGTCTCTGGGGTCTCTGATGCAGCCACAGAAAGAGCTGAACCCTGACACAGGTCCCAGGGGACCTGTATGGCAGATGTATGGCCTAACGGGTCTCAAGATGAAACCCACTGCTTCAGGAAGTCCTTCAAAGGCCTAAGTAGAGGCCACAAGGGCCAAGATCCCCTCATATCACCTCTGCAAACAGGTAAGCGATACCTCAGTCCTCACCTATACCATTTTACAGATAGAAAAACCAAGGCCAGACTCCCACAGACACACTGTAGTGGGAGGCTGATCAGACACACACAGGGTCATTTGGTGGCATTCAGAGAGCACATTTATTTACAAAGCGCTTTACAAACATTACTTTATGCCTCCCCACAGCCCCCTGTGAGGTAGGTCAGTAGTCATATCTACAGTTTACAGATGGAGAAATTGAGGCACGAAATGGGGGTGTGGCCTGCCCCACTTTAAAGAGACCTTCCCACCCACCCATCAAAATAACAAAATAAACCCCAAAAAAAGCACTGATCCTCCATCCCAGAGTTGAACTCTAGGAGTTGGGACCAGCCCTGCTCTAGGACTGCCCCCTCCCCAATGGGCAGCCTGACTGGAAGCCATAGGGGCCCCAACCCCAGGGATTCTGGTTCAACCTCGAAGATTGTCACTGGCCCGAGCTGAGCAGAACCAAGCCACAGAGGCCTGAAGGCTATGGGAAGAGAGGACTGAGGTGACTTCATTCTGCAGACACTGGTTCAGGCAGGGAGGAGCCCCACATGGGGCATGGAAGGCATGGGCAGATCCTGGTTCCGGGAAGCTCAGAGCACATATCAGAGAAGCAGAAGTGAGGAGGGATGGTGAGCAAAACACCCCAGGGGCTGCAGGAGGCAGTGGGGTGGAGAGGGCACTGCAGTTCCCCTGAAGAGGATGGTCAATGTATCCCACAGGTAAATCAGGGCAGAGCCCAGCCTGCCCAGAACCCTCAGGGGCCAGATGCCAAGCCTCGGTGCACCCTCCACTCAAGTGTAGAAGGGGCCATGCTGGGCAGAAATCTTCGCCTGGGATGCTCTCTCTGCAAGGCCTCACTCTTCTCTACCAATGGCTGAGATAGTCAGAGGCTTGGCCTGAGCCCCCCAGAGCTGGCCCTATAGGACCCTCTGGAGGTGGGGCTGGGCTGCAGTCTTGCTAAGCTCCTCCTTGGCCACAACTTGCCCGTGGACGTATTGAAAGGCTCTGCCCACGGTGGAAGAGGCCACAAAGATGGCCCAGCACCCACTCCAGAGCTTTCCCCATGAGGCTATGGCTGAGCAGATTTGGGGGCACAGGTCCTCCTCTCCAGCTGGGTATGCTGGGCCTGGCCCTGAGTGCACAGTGGGTGCCCCAGGCCAGGGCCCTGCTATCTTGACTCCAGCCCTTCCAGGTACTCCAGGGCCACATCGTAGCAAAAGTGGTACTGATCCTGGGGAGAAGGAGAGAAGGGCTCATGAGCCTAGTCTAGCTTCGCGCTGGGGAGAGGGCAAGCATGCACCCTGGCCTGCTCTGGGGACAAGGGGGCAATGGGAGCAATGTTCTGACACCACAGGACTAGAACCGAGGCCCACAGGTGAAGGAGAGCAGATAAGGGAAGTGAGGGCTGAGAAGCCTGGCCTGGCATGGACCAGGAAGGACCTCACCATGGTCTCCACCATGTTGGGCTTGTAGTTCCGGAGGGTTTTGGCAGCAAAGAAAACATCCACTAGGCTGTGGCATCGGATCATCTCCAGGACCGTGGCGCAGGCGCAGAAGGTGCCGCTGCGGCCACCCCCGTTTCTAAGAGACACAAAAGGTTTGATAAGAACCTTGGAGATGGAGCCTGGGAAAGAAGAGGTGAAGGGCGGGGCCAGGCAACCAAAAGGGAGGGGGTGGAGTCCGAGGGCTCAGGGCTGAGGGGCGAGGTAAGGGGACTGAAAGGGGAGGAGCCAAAGGTCCAGGGCCAAAGAGCCGGGGCTAGAGAACCAAGCAGGGAGGAGCCAAAGGTTCAGGGGTGAGGGGCGGGGCATGGTAGGGGAACAGGGGCCTGGGGTGAGGGGTGGGGCCTGGGAACCGACAAGCCAGAGGCCGGGCCCAAAGAACAGCAGCAAGATCAGGTTAGAGGCAGCTCAGAGACAGACTGGCATCCAAACCCTATGCCATCACAGAAGACATGCCCTCAAGGAGGAACATACTGTGGATTCAAGAGAAAAAGGAGGCCAGGCACTCCAAGGAAAAGACACAAGGGCGGCGACAGAGAAGGGCAGCAGAGCAGTGGGCAAACACGGGGGAACAAGACAAAAAATGAGCCCTGGCAAGACCAATCACCGCTGCCGGGTGCAACGCCCATCCATGAGGCACAAACACACACACTGGGCAAACGGCAGCCTCCCACTAGAGATCCTCGCCTCCTCTTCCTGCATCGCCGTCTGTTCCTGTGACTCTCCATGTAGGGTCTCCCTTGGAGGATGGGAGACCAAATAGTCCCTCAGTCCTTCTCCAGGGTCCCTCCTCCTAGAACTGAAAGCCCTGGAAGCCAGCCCCAAGTCTACCCCATGGGGGGCCCAGCCTGGCACTGGGAAGCCTGAAAAGTGGGGAGCAAGGGAGTGACTGCACCCAGACATAGGGCTTATCAATGGAACATGGATATTAATTAATTTATTGAAACAATGCATGTGTCCATAAACAAAGACTAGAATTCCATTGGCATTAAAAAGTGCTACAATCTCATGGAGTGAAAAATTCTGACAAAAGACTCTTTTTAATTAAACTGGTGGAGTCAAACATCACACAGAGGAGGCTGGGCAGTTGTTCAGGCTTGATTTTATACCCTGGAAGCTGACTGGTTTGCTCCAGGGAAGGCAGGACCAGCTTAGGCTGGCTGGAGAAGGTCCAGGCCACCACTGTCTGGGAGCTCCAGGGTTTTGGTGCCAGTCCTGAGGCCCTCCCTCAGATTGGACCTCTGCCCTGGCTCCCAACCCCTCCATCCATGTTCCTACAAGACAAGCACTCACAGGCAGTGCACAACGGTGCGCCCGTCCCCGCTCTCTGCCTGCCACTTGTCCACCTCGGCCAGCAGGTGCAGGAAAGCCTTCTTGGAGTCAGGCGTGTCACGGTAGGCAGACCAGCGCAGGAACTGGAAGTGCCGCACCAGCAGGTGGCCCTCCTGCAGCTGCGGACATGGGCAGCCAGCCAGGGGAGCATGAGCAACGGGGGCACAGGACTAAATGGTGCTCCAGTCACCACCCAAGTTCTCACCCTTGAGTTCCTCAGACCACTCACCCGAGAGATGTTCTGCACCCGGAAGACTCGGGCCACCAAGTCTTCATCTGCTGTGCCAGACACAAACTCCACCTCCATGAGGCCATACTGCTGCCGACCTGGCTCTGGCCAGTACTGCAGGCAGGGCTAGGGCATGGGCACAGAGAAAGAAGGCTGGGTAGAGCCAGGCTGGGCTTCCCTATTCCCAGCCCCAGGGCTCCACACCTGCCCTGTAGCTGCCATACCCAGGCCAACACTCAGCCCAGCCTCCCCTGCAGAGACCCCCACTCCACCACTCACCATCAGACTACAGGGCACACCTGCCCGAGTGCTTTCTGCACTGACACGCTCAGATCTGGTGCACAAACCCTTCACAGTCAGTGCAGTGAGCCACTGCTGTGTGGCTAGAAACCTATAGCTAAACATGCTCATGCTCACATGTGTGTGGGTACACACACACACCTGCATAAGGCTGCCTCCTCCCAGTGACAGGCCTAGATCACCCATCTCAGAACCAGCTCCCCGGGCTCTCTCTCACTGCCTCTGCCTTTAGCACTATCTCACAAAAGTGGGGTACCCTAAGCCACAACACAGCTCAGGACCCTGCTATGTTCAGGACTCTCCATGGAGTCAAGGGACTACATACCTGCCCCTGCTAGACCACAGACTGGAGACAGAGGAGGGGCAGAGGAGGTACAGTCCCCCACCCAACACACACATGTATACTTGGGTCCCCACTCCTGGGGTCCTCTTCCCGGAGTCCTGGCAAGGCTTTTTACCTCTCAGGGTAGAGTGTTTCCCCATCTGTAAAATTAGGGTAAGTTGTCTCACCTCCTCGAGGCTCAGTTTGCTTCTCTGCAAGATGGGGACTATCACGAGGCCTGTCTCATGGAGTTATTGTGAGGCCCAGATGCATAAGGCTGATTCACATTGTGTTATGCCTGGCACACAGTAGGTGCTCAGTATATGGCAGGGACAGAGATGATGAGGATGGCAGTCACTTCTGAAGATGGCCCCCAAACTCAACCCAAATGACACCACGCTCCATTTCTATCGCCTGTCACTCTTCCCCCACCTGTTTACCTATGAACTCTGCCCTCCCACACATCTCAGCTCGGACACTGCCTCCTCCAGGAGGCCCTCCTCGATCCATTTTCTCCCAGGTTTCTCTGTCTCCATGTCAGCTCCGAGTCTTTCCCTCTGAGCTACCACTATTGGTCTGTATTTGCTTCCCCCTGGACCATGAGATCTAGGAGAGGCTGGATCTTTCCCCTCTGTCCCCACTGCCCCCAGCAGGGCCTGGCAGGGAGCAGTCCTTGGGAAAAGCTAGCTGAGTACATGAGCAATGAGTGATGCCCATGTGCGCTGCCTCTGGGTCCCTGCCCCCACCTCACCAAGGCTGGGCTTCACTCCCGATCTCCACAGAGCCGGGGGCCCATCCTCTGCAGTCCCGGCTCATGTCACCAGGGCCTTCCTCATAAAGAGCTCAGTCTTCAAGGTCTCCTCCAGGCAGTCAGTAAGAAGCTGTTGCACTCATTTTACAGAGCATCCTCCTGACCCCCTGGGGCAGCAAGTGGGGCTTCGAGGGGTCCAAGACCTAAGCATGTGATCAGGCAGGGCTGGGAGGCTGGGCCTCTGCCTTCCCAGGAGCTCCAGCTGGAACAGGAGAGTCAGAGGGGCTGTCCCCATGGTGAGGGCACTGAGCCAGTGTCTGGGCCAACTTCAGAAGCTATATGTGCTGCTGGGAGGCAGGACTTGGTCAGAAGAGGTGAGTCACTAAAGTGGTGACCTGGAAGGGTGTATTCTTGTGCTCAGCTCCTCCTGCATTCTACTTCCTGACTGCTATGGGGTGAGCAACTTTCCTCCACCACATCTCTCTGCCACACAATTTTTCTGCTTAGGACCCAACCAACCATGGACTGAACCCTCTGAAAACCAGGAGCCAAAATAAACCTCTCTTCCATTAAGTTGTAGGTATCAAGTATTTTGTCCCGGCCACTGGAGAGCTAACCAACAGACCTGCCAGGTGCTGAGTGCCTACTACATGCCAGACACAGGATAGTACCCCATAAGAACAAGTCCTGTGACGATCCCCATTCTACACAGAAGGGAACTGAAGATCAAAGAGCTCAATGAACTTACCCTGGGTCAAACAGCTAGAAAACAGGTTTGAATTTACTCTACCTCAAAGACCCTCATGATGAATGAGCAGTTCAGTTGAGCTATGGGACCTTGGAGAAGGCACTTCATCCCTTCAGGTCTTAATTTTCCTTTCTTTTCTGAAGCCTCCACCTCAAGGTCACTGTATGTAGATTGTAAATTAGGCCATAAGTGCCAAGCCGAGTCCTTGGCTTACTGCAGCTGATTTGCTCCTGTCTGACACCCCTGTTTTATAGATGAGGAAATCCAGGCCCTGGGAGGGAGTATGACTGGTCCTCAGCCATACCACAAACAGGTGGCAGAGCTGAGCACCAACTTTTGACTTTGGAGAATGAGCCCTTGAAGACAGGGAGGCGCTGGCCCACAGGGCCCTCACCCAGGCCGAGTTGGACTGGTTCAACTGGTTGAGCATAACGATGGAGGTGCACCCATAGTCGTAGACCAGCCGCCAGAAGTCAGGCATGGTGCTCTGCAGCGGATGTAGGGTCACGATGAAGGCCGCACTCCGCGTGTAGCTCTGCAGAGAAACAGCATTCAGCAGAGCCCTGTATGTAGCCCCGATGTGAACTGATGGTCCGCCACGGGCTGTCTTCCCACTCAGCCCACCCTGAGCTGCACAGCTGGGCCTGCAGAACCAGGCAGGACCAGGCAGCCTGAGGGCCAATTTCACAGGCTGGTTAGCACACTGATTCCTGAGTGAGGGGGTGGGCTGCCAGCCTGTAGTGCCCAAGCCCATGGGCCCCCACAAACTAAATAGCAAAAGATACTCAAATGTGGAGCCAAGCTTGCTCCCTGCCCCTGTGCCTTTGTGTGTGCTATCTCTGCTACCTAAACTCAATTTCCTAAATGTCTGCATACTCACTCCCTTGCTTGCTTCTGGTCTTTGCTTAACTGTCTGTCACCTTCTCAGAGAGGACCTCCCTCACCACCTCATCAAAAACAGCCAGGCAGTAACATGCCTTCTGCCTTGTTTTCTGTAGAAATTTCCATGCATGACATTCCATTGTATATCTATTTACTAACTGTCTCACCAGACCCCCCAGATGCAAGGCTCAGAAGAGCAGAGATTTCAGGATGTGGCCTCTGCCTGGCACGTTGTAGAGATTCAATAAATATCTTTGAACAAATAAATCTCTAGGCCATTTCCAACTCCACAAGTGGAAGGGTCTGAGACTCCACCCTCCGCTCCGCAGGTGGTGACAGGCATCAACTCTGTTTCCCTCATTCTGCCAGGTGAGCTGTCACCCAGACTCCTCCCCACCAGAGCTCCAGCCCCAAGCTGTCCCTGGTGTCCTGCCTTGTTCTAACCCTACCATGTCTCCCTCCCTCTCCTGAGCCCTTCTCCTATAACCCCATTCCCTGGCCCCAGCCCCAACCCTAAAGGCCGGTGCAGGCTCCTGGGATCCTGGCCCTTGTCTGGCTTCCTCTAGACTTGATCTTGAGTTGGACCCTGAGCAAAGCTTGACCTGCCCTTTGCAGTCCCACACGGAGCAGGCAGAGAAACTAGGCCCCTCCCCAGTCTGCCCACTGCCCCTCCCCAGTCTGCCCACCGTCCCTCCCAGGCCTCTCTGAAGGCTCGCTGACCACAGCTCCTCAAAGCCAGGCCCAGCAAGACTCCAGAACTCAGGCCCTCTGGGGCTTCTGCAGACTGGACCACCCCAAACAGACCCATGCTGACCCCCAGGCAAGCCCACTGCAATCCAAGAAGCAGGGTCCCCTGGGTCCTGGGCCAATCCAGTCCCACATGACTAGGATCAGGTGTCTGAGCTATCAAGGACCCAGGATGGGGCAGGGCTCTGCCAACAGCTTCTCCAGTTAATGGTTCCCCCATGTGGGGGGATCCCCAAATGACCCTCCCCAGCTAGGAGTCTCAGGACTCTCAGTGATCCTCCTTTTCACCCCCGAGTGTGTAGATGAGGCGAAGGAAGAGGCTGGGAAGGAGGTCACAGAATCCCTGCTGCCCATTCCAAACTCTGCCACCCCTCAGGACCCCTCAGCAGGCTTGGACACCCTCTGGGGAGCAGGCGGGCACTCATATGCACACTGAGTGACCATGCTGCTGAGACCTCCCTGTCTCCCACCTCAGTGGTTGGGGCTGCTCTTCCCCTTGCCTTCAGCTCACACCAGGAAGGCCCCTGGGTGACAGGAAACCCCTGACCATAGAGTGGGAACCCACTCTCGTGACTGAAACCCCGCTGTCCCCTGTACCACCCTGCTTGGGGGACAGGGGGGATCATCCAGGAACCAGGCCACAAAAGGCCCGCCTCCCTCCTATCCACTGCAAGGCACCCGCTCCCACCTCTCACCTCCACGTGGGGGCATCCAATAGTGCTGCACATGGCCACGGCTCCCCTCATTCACCTCTACCCTAGGGATTTGCTCACCTCAGCCCCTTCCTCTCACTGCCACATATGGCAGCCTGTCCCAAATGTTATGGGTGACCGTGGGCATACAGCTGCATGTGGGAGACAAGCTGGCCTACTGAGCGGCAGAGGCATAGCTGGCCCATGTGGCCACATACCCAAAGTCACATTCTCCAGTGTTCCCTTCCAGATGCTCCCTCAGAGGGCAGCATCTCCGGCCTCTCAAACCCCACCACCCCTCTCCTGCTCTGCTAGCAATACTAGGTAAGGAGGTTGGCCCCTTGGGCTGGGACACAGAAAGTGACTTCTAAATGGCTCCTAAGCCTTCAGACTACAGCCAGGTAGGGCCAGGGAGCAAGTCATGATTCCAGGGCAGGTCCTAGAGCAGGGTGTGCAGATCTTCCTAGGACAAGCTCCCTGGCTCCAATATCAGATCTCAAGTCCCAACCCCAATCTTCAAGGTCTCCCTAGCCAAAGTCCCTTGAATCACTCATCCTACTCAACCAAAGGCTACTGGGCCTGATCCTGGAGACAGCCCTGCCTGAACTCCACAGCCCAGACTCCCGCTTGGGCACACAGTACACAGAGGGAGCACTGGCTTGAATAATACCCAGACTAGAAGGTCAACTGGGATAGGAGGGTCACCCCATGAGCCTGGTCCCCAGAATGGGCAGTGTCCCCACACACACACACCAGAACCCTCAGCTCTGCCCCCTTGACTCCTGAACCTTTCCAGCACTGCTGGGAGGGGGAGTTCCAGCGCCCATAGACCCTGAGCTCTCACGTCAGTCAGGGCCGCATTGATGTAGTTGTTGGGGTCACCGTCAGTAGAGACAAGGAAGGGTAGGCAGCGGTCTGGTGGCAGGACATCCATGCTTCGGTTCTTGTCACGGTTCCGTGGCAGCAAGGCGATGCTGCATTCCTCCATGTCCAGTGGTGGAGTGACCGAGTTCAGCGTCTGCCAGGAATGGGGCAGCATGAAGAGGCATGCCTGGTGCCTGCTGAGCCTCCTCACTGCCCCAGGAAGGACAATGGCTGGGTTACCAGCTCCAGAGAGAAAGGAGAGAAGATAGACCCAGGCTGCCTGTCCACATGCCACACAGGGCCTGCACTGTCACCAGTGTTACCTTAAGACAAGCTACTGTCCTTCTCAGCCTCAGCTTCCCTCAGCTGTAAAATGGGGAGATAATCTGCCTACTTGTGGGGCTGGTGGGAGGATAAAGTGAGATAATGCTAGGCATTGAGCAGAGTCTGGCACACCAAGGCTTAATATGTAGGGGACATAATTTGGGGATGGAGGCGCACAACTGTAAACCTAGCACTCTGGCAGGGAGAGGCAGGAGGATCACAGGTTCAAGTGCAGCCTGGGCAATGTAGCAAGTCCCTGTCTAGAAATTTTTTTAAAAAAATTTGAAGGGCTTGGGATGTAGCTCAGTGCAAACACCTTGTGTTCAATCCCTAATACAAAACAAAAAAAAAAAGGTAGGAGGCACAGTAAGGACCATTACTGGCTTATCAATGCTGTCAATGAGACAATCCCTGAACCCTCCTCTGCCATAACGTGGATTGCAGGTACCAGCAGAGGGGTCACCTTCCATGGTCAGGGACCCATCTGAACACAGTGCTGGGCCTGAGCACCTGGCTCTAAACCAAGACAGAGCTCTGGGCATCTTCTTCGCCCCTATGCCATCAGGCCTCATCTCTTGCTCTTGTTGTTAGGGATCCCTCACAGGGAACTCAAGTCTGTCACAATCCCCAAAGCCTGAAACCCTTTTGCAAGAGCCACTGGCTGCCTCTCCATGAGATTACCCAACGTGTCTGAGCACCAGCAGCTGTCTTGTCCCACCAAGGGACCCTGGAGCGAAGAGGACAGCTGGGGACTCTGGCCATGTAAATGGGGAGGCAACCAAAGCCTGGGTCCATCAGTGAGCTCCACCCTTCCAGCCTCAGTGACTGGAGCAGGGATAGGTACATGAGAGACTGGTGTAGGGTTTTTATTGGGGGTGTTGGAGGTAGCAAGGGTCTCCTAACAAGAAAGATGACATGAGCCTGGCATTTCGGGGGACCAACTATGGTCTGACAACAAAGCCAAGAATAGGAAAGCAGGACCAAGGGCACACACATCGTCATCTGAGCCCCTGGATGCAGCCACTACTGAAGCTGAACCATCATCCCTTAGCCTCTGCAGTTCCAGGGGCTATTGAGCTGGCTCTTTATCACTTATGACCAAAAGCTCCTGGTAAATCCAAACACTGTAAGGGTGATATTAACTACCTTTCTTTTCTGGATAATAAAACTGAGGCTTAGAGAGGTACAATGACTTGCTCAGGCTGCTCACAGGTCCTAACTAGATAAGGCAGAATTTGAACCCAGCTTTATCTGACTCCAAAGCCTAGGATCTTAACCACCTCTTCCACTGTTTCAAACTCCTTCCTAGTAGTCCAACTCTTTCCCTCCATCTGTGTCTCAGTCTGGTCCTTCCTGCTTGGCTCCCAGTGGCTACAGTACTGAGGAGTCCCAACACACACACACACACACACACCCTCACTCATTCCCCCCACCTGGAATTCTTCCCGCAGCTGGGAAGAATTACTCTGAGGGTCAATGCGGATCATCTCCCTGTACGTAGCCTTGAACTCATTGACAGGGATGGTGGTCTCCCCACACAGACAGGCCTCCAGGATTGCATCATGGATGAAGATGTACTGCTCCTGAAACAGGAGAGGAGAATATGAAAAGGAGGCAGGGACTGGGAGCTGGCAATCTGCAGGGGAGAGGGACATGAGTAAGCTCAAGGTTGAGGCAGGGGGACTCCAAAGTGGAGCCCGACCTTCCTGGAAGCAACCTCCACATCTCACACTGCATCCCTAGAACACTCCCAGGAGATGCTCTGTGGGGTGACAGGATGGCCCCAAGTCATAGATCTAGTGAGGATACAAACCCAGGCACAGCTCGACTACAGAACCCACTGCTCTTTGACCTCACCCAGCACATCATGGGGCTGGGTTTGGGATGATCCCAGGAGGCTGGCAGCCCAAGGTCACGGAAGGTCCCAAGGAAGGGAAGAGCCTAAGGACACCCTTCAGACACACTCCACCACTCTGAGCTCCTCACAAGAGACCAGAGTCCTAGAGGGAGTGGGGGGGACAGGGTGGGGTCCCTGCACCTCGGTCTGAATCATGTTGACACGCCGGGAGCATAGGGTCTTCACGCAGTTGTAAATGTCCACAACACCCTCACACTCCGCCATGTCCAGCATCACATCCAGGACGATGTAGCAGCCTGTGCGGCCAGTGCCCGCGCTGGGAACAGAGAGGCCCAGCCCACATTAGAGCCTTAGGAAGGGAGCCCAGAACCCAGGAGAAGAGAGGACAGGGACCAGGCCCCATCCATATCCACACTACTCAGGGGCCAGGGACACACAGAGGTGACCCAGCAGGAAGCAGCCGGCAAACGGACTGCTGGGAGAGTTCTGGTGACATGCGACAAAGGACAGAGCTGGAGATGGGCCTCAGGGAAGGAGAGGAGGGAAGGGAGAAGGGAGAATGCAAGGGTGAAGCTGTACCCACTTAGCAACTGAGTCTGGGGGCAGGGACAAAGATGACATTCAGAGCTCAGTCCAAGAATGTTCGTTCCTCCTGCACATCCTTCGAAACCCCACACACTCACACCAATTCATACACTTAGTGGCGCCTCCAAGGCTTCCAGGCAGGTGTTATTCTTTTGAGCTCCCACAGCAACTTGGCAGGCTCTTATTAAAACACTTCCTGCTGTGTGGTCACTGGGTATGTGGCTGTCTCCCTGACCCCACTCAGAGCTCATCAAGAGCTGGGCTATGTTAGAGCCATCACTGTGATGCACATGCTCAGCACCTGTTCGAGCAGAGTTAAGGGGGAGGAAGAGTGGTCAAAGATGACACCAAGATTCCAGGCTTGAAAATGGTGTTGAAATGCTGGCAACAGGATGTCCCAGGCTCTACTGATGGAGGCTTTGGAAAACTGACAGTTTCTGCTGAGGCTGGATGGGCACAGACAACAGTTCTACTCCTACGTACGTACACACAGGAACATGTGCATTTTTTGGACCAAAACACACGCACTGCTGTTTTATTTTAGCACCACTATTCCTAACAGCTCAAAACTGGAAACATCCCAAATGCCTTTCAACAGCAGAATGGACAAACATATTGTAGTTTATTCACCCAATGGAAGATGATACAATATGGATGAACCTTACAAACATAAGGGTGAGGGAAAGAAACCAGGCAGCAAAGCGCAAAGGCTAGGGGATTCTATTTATACAAAGTTAAAAACCAGGCAAAACAGGCCAGGCGTGTGGCAAACACCTGTAATCCCAGCACTGGAGAGGGTGAGACAGAAGAAGGATCACCAAGAGTTTGAGACCAGCCTGGGAGACCCAGTGAGTTCAAGGCTAGTCTGGACTACATAGTGAGACCTTGTCTCAAAAAAAAACCGGCAAGATAGTGATTGTTCTGGGAAGGGGGACATTCTGGAACAGAGTTAAGGGGGCCCCTGAATTCGGTTGATGTTGTTTCTTGATCTGAATAGAGCTACAGGTGTGTACACTTATGAAAATTCATAGTTACATGCACACTTATTTTGTGACTTATGTATACTTTAAGTATATTATATATCAATGAAGCCTTTATTTTCAGAAGATGAGATCTCAAAGAGACCTGAAGAAATCAAAGAACAGATGGCTTGGAGGTGGCAGGACAGTCAGAAGACTGAATCTGCTGTGTGGGGAGACCAGGGAGCTGATAAAAATCCAGGTAGAGGAGCCAGGACAAGCCACAGAGGCCATGCATGACCTTGCAGGCCCAGGTGACTTGCTGAAGCCCAAGGTTAACAGATTAAGCTCTCCAGGGGAAGAAAGGCAAGGGAAAGATGTGGAAGCCAGGAGAAAGCCCAGCAGAAAGAGGAAGGGCAGCTGGGATCAGAGAACCAATTCAGGAAAGAGCTGCAAAGGGTGTGAAAGCCAAGGGATGAGCCAGGCCTACTGGATGCAGGGAGAAATAGGTGACATCCTTCTCAGCCCTGGGGCTAAACCTAGCACACAGGTGTGCAACGGACACTCACTAAACAAAAGCATCTGTACTGGATGTGCCTGGAGCCTCACTCATCCCAAGTCCCCCTCTAGGGCTCAATCCTGCTTAGCATCTGGGCCAGGGGTGCTGCTGGGCTCCAGGGGCACATATGACACCAACATCAGAGCCAAAGCTTAAGGGGCAAAGGGCCTTTCTGTGTCATTCTCTCCTGCCCCATCTCCAAGCAGGCTGAATTCAGGCCAAGTTCCCCTTAGGGACCCAGAACGTGCCCCACTCGAGTCCGCCTCCCTGGGATCCCATCACTCCCACCTGCAGTGGATGACCACAGGCCCAGCATCCGGTGGTGTGGAGGCCTTGACACGCCGGATGAAGGCCAACAGCCCAGTGGCATGGTAGGGGACACCATGCTCTGGCCATGCTGTGAAGTGGAACTGGCGGACCTCATGCCGGGCAGAGTAGCCTCGCTGCGGACACAACAATAACAGTCAGTTTCACTGGCAGCATCTATTAGAAATTTGCTGTGTGCCAGGCACTGTGGCGAGCATCTCACTGTTTATTTTATGGTGAGGTTTATTACTGGTGAAGTGGAGATAAATGTCCTCTGTAGCAGGGAAAAATACCAAGGCCCAGCAAGGAGAAGCCACTTTCCCGACGCTGGAAAGAAAGATACTATGGAGGACTTGTCAGGGATCTGCCTGGTGCTCAAACCTATGCTCCTGAATGGCCCTAGCAGATATACCGTGACTCTCTGGGCCTTAGTTTCAAGGGGGAAACTTCCTCCTCTGAGGATTTTACAGAGCCATCAGAAGGTTCATGGACTGGACTTGCCAGCCAGTCCCTGAATGCCATGGCCTCTGATATCTGACATAACCACTCAGCCTTGATTGTTTTATCTGTTAAATGGGATTAAGGAGGGCTATGGGTGTAGCTCCCTGGTACAGCACTTGCCTAGCACCCACAAGGCTCTGGGTTCCATCCCCAGCACCACCACCACCAAAAAAAGAGGGATATAATGGTAAACATCTAACCCATGAAGTAAACAATATTTGTGGTGGGCTCAGCACAGTGCCTGGCAGAGTAGGAGCCACCACCTGGGAGCCACTGTCACTAGCTTCATTGTCTCAAATTCCTCTTGGAGTCTCCAGCAGACAGTTACCTCCTATCCTTCCTCAGGGCTCCTAGCAAGCCCTTTCCAAGCAGCTTCCTTGCCAAAGTAGGCAGTGTTCTTCCTCACCCCTCGTACACCCTGGATGAGGAGGTGGGGTGGCACTGTGGGGAACAAGGGTGGGGACTCACCCGCTCCAGGGCAAAAGTGCGCACAACATACTCGGCCAATGTTTCTGTCTTCATCAGTGTGATCTTGATGTCCCCATACATGTCTGAGTCCTCTGGCCAGTACCGTGAGCACTTCACCTGCAGGTCCCACAAGCCAGGACTCAGTGGGTTCTTCACATCCTCCAGGGCCCACCCTTCCCCAGTGACCCCCCAGGCCCGCTTACCCTGCCCACCTCTACCAGCTTGGTGATCATGACGATGCTGGAGCAGTGCTCCTGCCACACCATACGCCAGAAATCGTAGATCATCTCGGGCTTCGGCCCTGCAGGCACAGACAGCCACCTGTCCCTTAGCAACGTCTCTGCCCAAGGCCAGCAGCCCCTTGGCCCAGCACCACCACCCCAGGCCAGAAGGCTTTCTGGACCTCCATGGGAGCTCTATGCTCACCCCACATTCACCCCAACAACTGCCAATTCATGCCTGCAGCGCCCTGGGGTGAGCGGTACCAGGGAGAGGCCAGTCATGCTGAGTGGGACCCAGGAAGCAGAGCTGGAGGGCAGATTCCCAGGCCATGAGGCAAGTATCCAAGAAGGATGGATGGATGGATGGGTGGATAGATGTATGGATGGATGGATGGTCAGGGGGAAGAGACACAGCCAGGTGGGACCCAGGTAGCCACTAAACTGAGAAGCAGAACCCAACCGCTTGAGGATGGGGCCTGGCTACCCCTTTTGCACACACAACCATGGAGACAGGTGGACCAGGGTGCCATGGAGGGACTGATCACATTGGGAAACACAAACACAGAGAGGGGACAAAGACAGACAGCCAGATGCCAAGAGACCTAGACAGAGAATGGGGATCAGAGAGACAGATGAGAAGGCAGACAGGGAACCAAGCAGGACACCAGGGAAGGCAGACAGCAGGCACCACGCAGTGCAGCACATGGGAGGTGCCCCGAGCAGAGGAGCCAGGTACCTTGAGTGGCTATGAAGTGATTTGATCTGTGATAACCCTAGAACAGAAGAAGAGGGCATGGTGAGGCCCCCAGAGTAGCCTCTCGCTCCCTCAGCCCTCCCTTTTCCTCCTCTCTTGAAGCAGCACCCCTCCTATTCCAAGGAATTGCCCACCTTTGTGCCTAGGCCAACTAACCAAGGTGACTTTGTCCTCCCAGTCCCCAAGGAAAGAGGTAAGTGCAGCTGGGACACCAGCGTCTTGCTGTGTGACCTTAGGAAGGACACAACTCCCTGGTGGATCTACAGGACCTCCCCATCCACAGAGAGGGGAGGGGACAGTTAGTTATCTGCTTATAACAAGGGTGCTGTTTGGAGACAAATAAAGCCCAGAGGACTCTGCCCTGTCCCCAGAGTCCCAGAAGCCTTAACACACCCGGACCCCAGATGCAGGGTAACCAGAGCTTGTCAGCTCTCCCAGGCCCTCTCAAGACTATCAGGATGGACAGTACCCCTCCCCACTACCTCAGCCACCCAGAGCTTGGAGGCCTAGATGAAGGCTTCAAGGTGGAAGCAAATAGCCCTTAGATAAAATTTTCAAATCTTTTAAACCTATTACAATGATGATGATGATGATGCACTTTCTGAGACCCTGTCCCGGTCACATACTGTGCTAAGCACTTTACCTGCACTATCTTGCACAAACCAAAGACCAAGAGCTACTTCCTCCTCCATCTCCAGAGCATCCAGGCTGAGGACAGGAGCCGACCCTGCCCCCGGGACCACAGCCACCCTGGTTTTCCCCACAAGGCCTCATTTTCTGGGACAAATGGCCCACCAGACACCCAGATTATCAAAGTGGGCAGCATGGAAAGGGGAAGAAGTACCACAAGGACAGTACAAGAGAAAACCATCCAGCTTCCACCCCTGGCCTTCAGGTCATGCCCTCAACTCAGCTTCCTGCAACTCCTCTGGTTCCCTGGGCTTCCCAGACGCAAAGAGCGCTGGAGCCAGACTGCCAGGGTTCAAATCCCAGCTCCACCTCCTGCTGTGTGCACTTAAGCCAACACACTCTAGGCCTCCATTTTCACATCTATAAAGTGGAATAATGATAGTATTTACCTCAAGGGCTGTTGTGAGGAGTAAATAAAGTAATATAAGTTGAGAGTCACTAGGTCAAGCACAAAGTCAGTACTTAATAGTAGCTATTATTACTACCATTTTAAAGGTTTGGCAATGTCTCTGAAGACTCAAATAGTATCGACGTCAAGAGTTCTTGGGATGGGGGTGATATATTATAGTATTATAATACAAGTCTTGGAATCTAATGGACCTAGGTCCCTGTCACAGCTCTCCCATGGAGTAGCTGTGCGACCTCAAGCACTGAGAGCGTGCTTCTCACCCTTTTATGTGCACAGGAATCTCCTTCCACCTTGGCAAAAGTCATATTTGGACTCAGAAGGCCTGGGATTGTTGGTTTCCAACCAGCTCTGTCTGGGGTAGTGCTGTTGCTGCCAGGCCTCAAACACATGGAGTAAGCGGCCAGCCTCTTGGCCTTGCTAAGCCTGTTTTCCTCTGCAGAATGAGGACACAGCAAGACCTGTGCTCAGAAATTCAATTGTTACCTTCTTGCCACAACCATGAAAAGGATCAAAGCACAGTCAAAGTGACTAATAATGACAAGTCTCCAAGGCCACTCAATCTTCACTACTGGGAGCCCTAGCAAGTCTGGCCTAATTCCTTCCTGCTGTTGCTCCAAGCCACTGTCTCTGTGTCAAGTCCTCAACAGAGCTACTGGGCAACCGGTCAGAGGGGACTAATAAGGTAGAGGACAGAGTGGGCCTATTACAGGCACTGCGGGTGGCTGCATCCCCACCCCCCGCCAAGTCAAGCTGGACCTAGGTCACCCCATGTAAAACCAGTGTGCTAAGAATCCCACCTGGGAGCGGGTGCCTCATGGGATTCAGCCACAATACAGTACCAGCACTCAAGCACTAGGCAGCAAATAATGGAGAAATGGAACTCAATTAAAAATGGGTCAACTGTGCTGTGGGTGTAGCTCAGGGGTACAGCACTTGCCTAGCCTGCATGAGGCATTGGGTTCCATCCCAGCACTACTGGGAGGACAAGGGGGCTGGTCACTTTGCCTGGTGCCCAGCTGGTCTAAAATTAGGCTCCATTCGCAAATATTTTTGCTTTATTCCAATGTCCTATTGTTTTGTTATCTGGAGGCATCATTTTGGAGAAAGTATAATCCAGGGTCATACAACCTATTTTTCTTACAACCCTATCTGAAGTAAGCATTTAAGCAGACAACCCTCAATGGCTACAGATTAACATTTTAAATATATACATGTGTTGCTGCACAATTATGTGACATAGAGGACATGAATAAAAGTCCAAAATGATTTGATTTTAAAGGAAGGTGAGTAATCCTCTGCGCTCACCACTGTGGAGACCAACATTGCCAAGCACGGGGCTTCACACCTCAGGAAGGCTTGGCAGGTTCTAGGAACATGCTCCTGAGTCCTTCCTGGAGTCAGACCGGGTAGTACCAAGGGACAGATTGGGCACCTGGATTGTAGGCAAGAACCCCAGGGCATCCTGATGCTCCTCAAAGGGCAAAAACCGCCATCTAGTGTGAAGACCAAGTGCTAAGGCTGGGTTGTGCCCTTGAGCAAGTCACTTAACTTTTCTGAGACTCAATTTCTCACCCGTCAAATGCTAGTCACTCTGGTCCCTCCCTTGTGGAGTGTGATAAAGATGAAATGGTGCCTGTAGGGTGCCCGGCACACAGCAGGTGCTCAATCAGTGGCACGACTGGTAACTGGCACTGGAAGAAGCATTAAAGCCAAACTTTCTAAGAGTATTTTTTTTCCTTTGTGGTGCTAGGGATGAAACATACTAGGCAAGCACTCTACCACCACTCTGTATCACCAGCCCATTGTAAGGATATCTTTTAACAGGCTAACAACAGGGAAGCAAATGGCTGGAATTCAAGAGTGAGCAGGTGTGCGTGGAAATTGAGACGTAGACATGTAATGACCTGTATTCATCACAACCTACAGGGGGCACTAGGGATGAACGTATCCATTGCATCTTGAAAGCCTCATCATCCTTTAAAATGTGAAAACTTTACAAACCAACTGTGTAACTATGCTCAAAATAAGGGATACATCTGGGATAATGGGTCCTCTCTACCAAATGTGACCATGGGGAGCTTTCAGTCTACATGTTAGTCTCCCCAGGTTGTCTGAAAGTCTGATAAGAAACAGAATTTTAGCAATGATTAAAAAAAAGCAAGAAATATATTTTTAAAGGAAAAAAGGAAGCAAAATAGAAAAAGTATCCGCAAAATAGCAAAGGATCATACTCATCAAATATTATGAAAATAACATATATGTATTAAAAATCAAATCACAGCCACTACATGAATTAGGGTTTGGTTTTGTTTAATTCTTAAAAGGTTCAGGCCGGGGATTTAGCTCAGTGGTTCTGGTGCCTGCCTCGAAAGCGCAAGGTCCCAAGTTCAATCCCCGGTACCAAAAAAAAAAGAAAAAAAAGAAAAGAAAGGTTCAAAGATAGCACAATTTTTAAAAGTGAATATCCAAACTGTTCCCCCAAAAAAAACATTCAAATTAAGGCTAAATTGAGGGCAAATTGGCTGGGGCTGAGTTTTAAGCAAACTGATCGTGAAGGGATTTGAACACCAGGGAAACTAGTTTTAGGGGGACTGACCGAGGGCTCTGAAGACCCTGACCCCTAAGCAAACAGAGACAGGGCATTCAGGGCAGCTTCCCTCACCATCCTCACCAAGGGTCCTGCTAGTGAGGCTCACTGGTAATGAGGGTTACTGGGGGACAAAGGTGACAGACAGTGGCATCCAGAACAGAACAGGGCCAAGGGAAGCACCCAACATGGCAGCCCCATCGCAAGGAGGTGGAGGATGGGGGCGGTGCTTACAACAGGGATACTGTCGAATCTTCAGCTCTGGGCAGCCCCTGGCCAGGCTGCTGAAATGGACGGTTGGTGTTGGGTGCACAAGGAGTGGGGAAAGAAGGCAGAGACTGGAGAGAGAAAGGGAGGGAGGGAAGGAGTCAGGGAAGGAAGGAGGCAGGGAGGGAAAGAAGGAGGGAGGGAAGGAAGGAAGGAGGGAGGGAGGGAGGGAGGGAGAGGCAGGCTGAGATACTGCTATTCAGACAGAGACAGAAGGAGAAGGAGGAGGAGCAGGGGGAGGAGGAGGGGAAGGAGGAAAAGGGAAAAGAGGAAGAGGAGAAGGGAGAGAGATACTTACTTGGCGATTTATCCGAATCTTAATGATTCCAGTGAGGGAACAGTACAAAGCAAAAGAGATAGATGTTAGGCCAGAGGCAGATGGAGGTGGACAGGGCACAGGACTGGCCAGAAAGGGCAATGTGAGCAGAAAGGCAGAGACAGGTGGGCTGGGCCGGGCCAGAGAAGGGGAGTGACTTGTTCCTGCCAGGGCCCAAGAGAAGCCGACTAGGACCTTGACAAGACCGAGGAGAAGCCCACTGTCACCAAAGCTGCCCAATTCTTCAAGGCCAGGCCCAGCCCTTACCCCCGCCAAGGGACAGGACAGGAGCTGTGGGAGAAGGCAAGTGATTCTGGGAAACACGGGGTGGCATGTCTGGCCTAGGAGGAAGACAGAAGAGGGAGAAGAGAGATGGTGTCCACAGTCCCTGACCACCTCAGCTCCCAGGAGTGCCTTGCTCCTCAAGCCTTTGCTCATGCTGTCCCCACCTTGGTGTCCTTCCTTTTCCTCTCCAGCCACCCACAGAAGCTCGATCCCTGCTTCCTCCACACAGCCTGCCACAGCCACCCCTAACTCTACCACCAATTGGCTGTGTGACACTGGGAAAGCCATTTCTCTCTTCTGCCTGGCCTGTGCTTTCCTGTCTACTCTGAATTATTTCACCTGTATCTATGTTTACCTGTCTCCCCCAATAGAATATAAGTATTCAAAGAAAGCAGGGACCATGCCTATCTTGTTCACACCCATATTGCTGGTCCCAGGCACTCAAAATACATGCCATAAATGATGCTCTCTCATACTCAGTTTGCACAGGGGGTGGAGGAGCCCGACCAGAGTCCCTGGGCCCTCCCTGTCCCCTTTCAACCATCACCTCTTCTTGACACCCAAGCCAGGTCTCCTGGCTGCCTCCCTATCTCTGGCCTCTCCCTCCAACTCAGCAATCCTGCCACTGCAGCAGGTGGTCAGATGGCCTGATGGTTAGCAGCAAAGGCTCTGGAGACACAGACAGGCTGAGGTTTGAGTCCTTTCTTTACCGTTCACTACGTGACCCAGCACCCTCTGCTTCACTTCCCTGAGCCAGTTTCCTTACCTGTAAAAGGAAGTCATGATACTAACTACCTTATGGGGTGACTGTAGGGGTTAAATAAAATGCAATATTGTTTATAAAGTGCTTAGCACAGTGCTTGGCACATAGTATATGCTCAATAAACATGTTCCCCCACACACACCTTAGCAGTACTGGGGATCGAACCCAGAGCCTTTGCACTGACCTATATCTCCAGCCCTTTTTTATTTTTTTATTTTGAGATGGGTCTCACTAAATTGCTAAATTGCCCAGACTGGGCTCAAATTTGTAATCCTCTGCCTCCCAGAGTGCTGGGATTATAGGTGTGCACCACTTCGGGTGGCTGCATTATGCTTAAAGTACCACTTTGATCACTGTCAAAACATTTTGACAACTCCCTAGCTCCCCTAGGAAAAAGTCCAACTCCTTACCCTGCAGTCTGAGGCCTTCCTCCCGCTCCACTCTACCTCTTCAGCTGTAGAATCCACCCTCCAAGCTCATGGCCCCTCCTTGAGAAGGGATCCTTCCTCCTCTCTGGGCCTCACTGTCTGTCCTTTGACCTCCTTCCACCTCACATCTCTCAGGCCAGCCCCAGCCTGCAGGAAGCCTCCCTGAAGGCCGCACCCACTTCCCCCTCCCCCTCCTCTGAGCTCCCTGGCACAGAATGCAGGAAATGGGGCAGGCAGAACTTGGCCATTTTGAACCCCCATTGATTCCCTGATGGGTTTCTGCTCCAACTGGACAGTGAACCTGGAGCAGACAGGGCCGGGCCAGCAGAAATGACAGGGGCAAGGCACTCACGTCTATGTAGTTGGCATTAATGTAGTCAGCATTGGGGTCTCCCAGCATCGGGTGCAGTTTCACTCGGTGCCGATCATCTGTGAACACAGAGCAGGTGGACACAGGCTGGAGCGGGGGGGATAGAGCGGGGGCAGGTGGGGAAGGCTTCCTAGAGGCTAGGGGTAGAGCAGCCAGGAAAGCTAGAGGCTCAGGCTAACCAGAAGGGTCTGGGCACCATGGGACACAGGACAGGCCAGGGGTTAGAGTCTGGGCTATGGAGTCAAAGAAGCCTAGGGCACGTACTGTTCAGGGAATCAGCTATGTGAGCTTGGGCAGAGGACTTACTCAAGCCTCAGTTTCCTCATGGTGGGCCCTCTATAAATGACAACTGATACTACTACAATTTCCAAGAGTGGCCCCAAGCTCCCTTGGGCTGGGTTTCCTCTTTCTGCCCTGGACCCCAGCCCCCTTCCCAGCACTCACAAGCAGGCATCGATCCCTGCCGGCCACCCTCGAGCTTGTCTTTCTTCTTTGTGGCATCCCAGCCCTCAAAGAAGCTCTGCCAGAAGGGAGAGTGGTCGTCAGTGGTGGAGGAGGATCCCATCACTCTTGAAACCCCTTCCTCTCAACAGAGATGATGTGGGCGGGAAAGGGGAGGGGACATGGGAAGGGTCAGGTTCAGGGCTGAGCTTGGGGCCTGAGAGAGTGAACCCTGTATCAGTGAGGCATCAGGTTCAAAACCAAAGGCTGTGGGAGGAAAGAAGATGAAAAGAGAGGGAAAGAGAGGGTCAGAGCTCACAGACATTTTAGAACAAGAGTTAGGTTCAGAATAAGGGTCAAATCAGACCTGAGTGAAGAAGGAAAAGGGAAGGGTCAGAGTAAGATTAGGATAAGGGTGGTGTCATTGTCCAGATGGAGTAGGACAGATCCAGGTCAGAGTTTGAATGGAGCTTAGGGTGAGTCAGGTTCAACATCAGATGCAGTTGGGTCAAGGTCAGTTCTGGTGATCTGGTTCAAATTAGAGACCGGATTAGGATAATGATCAGGACAGAGATGGAGACTGAGAAGACGTTAGATCAGATTTCAGATCAGGACTAGGATGACAGTGAAAAAACAGGTAAGTCTGAGATCAGGGTGAGGGTGAGAATCAAGATCAAAGAGTTAAGTTTGAATTGGAGGCTGTCAGGGTAAGGATCCAAGTAGGGCTGGGCTGAGGTCTGCCAAGGTCAGGATACACAGCTAGGAGGACCCTGGGTGGGGCGGGCTGGACCAGGCATGCGTGCACCTCATACTCCTGCTTGAAGCCATAGCCCTCAGCCGTCTTCATTTGGTTGATGTGCTGCAGAAGGTCTGCTACGCGGACTGCAGGATGCAGCTGGCCCGTGTGATAAGGAGAGCCCTTCCGGCCACACGGACGCCGCGGCGAGCCCCCCAGGAGACTGCTGGCCTCTGTGACCCCAGCGCTGCGCTGGTCTCCTGCAGCCAGAAGAAGGAAAAGGGGTTCTTGACATATCCGTGCCCAAGCCTGAAGGACCCCAGGTGGGCTCAGGATGGGGGAACCGGGACAGTGGAGTAGACAGGGAGCACAGCCACCATGTTCACTAGAACCATGTAGTCCAGCACATCCCTTCCCTCTGCACCTCAGTTTCCCACCTATGAAATGAGCAGGTCAGATCAGGTGACCCCAGGGCCCTGTGGCCCTGCCACAGTGAAACCCACTCCACCCCGTGAAGTTGCACACACAGTCCATAGGGGCAGTGCTCAGCAGAGGCCCTGACAGCGCTGCTGTCCCACCCCCTTCCAGGGAACAATCTGGCACACTGCCAGCTCCCAGTAATTACCCCCATTCAAAGATGAGCAAATCAAAATTCACTGCCACCACCCCCTGCACAGATGACAGGAGGCACCTGAATAGAAGTGCTCCTTCTGTGTGAGCAGTTCCATTGTCAGCCCTGCAGTGGCCAGAGGGGGAGGGGGGCTGAGCGGCCTGTGGTGCCCTACACGCCCCAGTGCCCTCTTCCAAGCCCCACATCCTCCCATTCTTCGGGTCCGCATTCCCAAGGACACCCTGCTACTGGCTCTGGAGGTCAGGGCTGAGGTTGAGAAAGCAGCTGCTGTCCCTCTGCCCTGGCACTCGCTCCCAACTGTCTCACTCAATACTCATTTCCCTCATGTATCAAGCTTCATATTGCCATCATGGCCTGATGTCCCAGACCCTTAATTTTACAGATGGGAAGGCTGAGGTCCAAAGAGCATGACTGGCCTCGTGTCATAGTTGCCAATGTGTGTTCCAGAACACACTAGGCAGGCAAAATGATTAACCAGTATTCTTCTAAAAAGATAAGAAGGAGGATGAGGAGTGGCTCTATGTTTGGAAGGAGTCTGTGAAATTCTGGCATAAACAAAAATAAATAGGTCTCTTCCCTATAAGACCTCTCAAGGCTTCCGAGATATTTGAGTGCATTTCAAATCTCCAAGAGATGAATGGAAATAGCAATGCTTCAATAAGCCTCTTTCACCATGGAGAGCTCTTTCTGTTTGTTTCCTGAAATATCCTCAAGGGAACACTGTATAATGTGGAGACTGAGACAGGCTGCAGAGTTGAACAGAACTCAGATCAAATCCCAGTTTTGCATGTGACTTTGGGGATGTTACTTACCCTCTCTAAACTTCTGCTTTCCCATGTCAAATGAAGATAAAAATGGTTACTACCCAATATATACCGATGTAAACATTAAATATGCACATGTAAGGCACCCAGCACAGTGCCTGGCACACAGTGAGCACCTGCACAGGGCAGATGTTGACATTATTAGTCATCCTCAAGAAAAGAAAGACGCCCTTAAGGCCCAGCAAACCAAGGCAGCTGTCTGCTAAGAGTCTTGGTCCTACTCCATTGTAAGATCTTGGTCCAGCACCTGAAAAGTCAATTACAAGGAGCATCCACAACAAACACAAAATTTCAAGAAGGATTTCTGCTGGCTCAGAGAACTCGGGGACTCAGTGAGACAGAGGACTCTGGTGCTCTTTGTGGGAACTGAGCCAACAAAGAGGTCTCCAGATGGATAAAGAGCAAATGAGGAGGGGTTGAAGGGAGGGCTGGGCAATGGTGAAAAATGAGAACCAAGAGAGATTATGTAAAGGTGCAAATTTCCAATGATGAATGTCATTATATTGTATACCTAAAATGTGCCAATGATTAGAATGAATAATCGATAATGCAAAATAGGAAGAAAAGGTCCAAAGGGGTAGGGGTAGTGGGAGGGGCAGGGGAAAGGAAAGAAGGGAAAGGAAAAATGATGAGAAATGGAAAAAATGGAAATAAAGTCTCTGTAAATAGGGAAGGGTGGAGGGAGTGAAGGGAGGGCTAGGAATGGGGAAAAAATAAGAACCAAGATGCATTATGTAAAGGTACAATTCCCAATGAGAAATGTAATTGTGTTGTATACCTGCAATGTACCAATAAAAGAATTCAATAAAAAAAAAAAAAGAGCAAATGAGGGAGGCAGGGAAACAATGCATCCCCGAAACCCTGAAAGGCCAACATCCCTGACAAGCCCCACAAGCAGGCGCACAATGGGCTCACGATGGCCTAGGACCAGCAAAAGATCACCCTGGTTGAGACGTTGATGGGAAGCCAGAGCCAAGTCCAGGCAGTTCAAGAACAACATAAGACATTCTATAAATAAGACCACCGGAAAAGGACAAGGCCATGTACAATGATGTTCCCAAGAGAACCCTCTTTCCTGGGCCCAGCCAAGACAGTTCCTACTCTCTTTGCCCGTGAATTTCCCTATGGCATTTGAGACACAATTCCTACCCTACACCATCCTTCAACCCAAAGGACCACATTTTCCACAGCTGGTAGCCCCTGGGAAGAAGGAAGGAAAGTGAAAGCCAGACCTTGGTTTCAAGATCAACACCTATTGGTTCTCCCAGGCGCTTCCCAGCACCAACATAAATAGAGAACATCTGTGAGCAACCACTGGGGATGGTGAGGGGAGGCTTGTGGGGTTTTATAAGGAAGGCTAAGCACAAAAAATACTGGGTTTGGAGTCAGAAAGATCTAAATTCGAATTCTAACTCAAGTTCCTTAACCTCTCTGGGTCTCAGTTTCCTCATCTCGAAGAGAGGATCCATCCAGTGCCTATTTAAAATAAAACTTCTTGGCAAACTAAAAACTGAAGGGAACTTGCTAATCTGATAAAACATTTCTACCAAAAAATACCCAGCAAACTTTATTCTCAGCATTTAAATGTTAGAAGCATTCCTTATAAAGTAAGGAAAATAAGACAAAGATTTTGCTATACCTACTTTTATTTAACACAGTCCTGGAAGTTCCAGCCAGCACTGTTCAGAAAACAACAGGGAAAAGGGATTTTAAAAATGGGAAAGGAGAAACAGAACTGCTAGTTTTTGTAGATCCTTTCATTGTAGTTGGAAAATCTGAAAGATCTTGTAAATAAGCTAGAATTTGTAAGAAAGTTTATCAAGTATGAATATAAGATCAATATACATACCAAAAAAAAACACATTTCTCTATATACAAAATTGGTAATATTTAAAAGTGAATCATTTGCAATAGAAGTTAAAAAAAAAGTGACTTGTGGCTAAGGGTGAAACTCAGTGATTGAGCGCACCAAAAATTAAATAATTAAGTGTGGACCTGGTCTCTAACAAAAGATGTACAGGATTTTATGGAGAAAATTACTGAAAACCAGTCAAGACCCAAATAAATGAGGTGATATATATCATGTTCATGGATGGAAAGATGATTTGGTAAGATGTCAGTTCCACCCAAATTGATCTATAGATTCAATACAAATCCGTCCAAGGTTTTTCAAGAAACTTCAAAAAAAATGACACTGAAATTTATAAGAAAGAGAATGAAGACAAAATAGTAAAGATACTCTTGACAAAGAACAAAGTTGGGAAAGCTTAACATTTCAGATGAAATGAAACAAAACTAGACAGTGCAATTTTGACACAGGAATCACCAAATTAAGCAAAGAAAGAGAACAGGGAGCCAAAAACCAACCCACATATACATGGAAATGTGACATACAGCAAGGGTGGCACTGAAAATTGGTAGTGAAAGTACAAACCATAAGAAGTGATGCTGGGACAGTTGATTAACCCTATGGACAAAAAGAACATCTTTAAGTCAAACCATACACAATAATTAACTCCAGGTGGATAAAGATTTAAATGTGAAATACAAAATAGTAAAAGTTTGAGGAGAAAAGTAAAAAATATGACCTTAGGTAAGGAAGAAATTCTTTAAAGAAGGCATAAAAAGTAGATACTGTAAAGAAAAAGACTGATAACTTTGACTACATTAAAATAAAAACTTTCTGTTCATCTAAAGACACTATAAATAATCCAGAAAGATGAGCCACGAATTGGGGAAGATATTTGCAATTCATATGTGGCAAATGATCATTATCCTAAATATATAAAGAACTCCTAAAAACTACTAAGAAAGCAACAAAAAAACCCAAAAGAAAATTAGGTGAAAGACATGAACAGGCATTTCATGGAAGAAGAGACCTGAATGGCCAATAATGACTTGAAAATGTATTCAACCTCATTAGTAATCAGAGATATGCAAATTAAGCCTGTAGGGAATTACCATTTTATACAAACCACTTTGGCAAAGGGTAGATGGCTGCCAAGTTTTGATCATGATGCAGAGCAACAAAGTCTTACACACTGCTGCTAGGAGTGAAAACAGGCAAAACCACTTTGGAAAACAACTTAGCACCATCTTGCTAAATTAAAGAAGCATGTTATCCATGTTCCAGCAACTCTACTTCCAGAAACCCACAGCATGGGCATCTACAGATTCACATAAGAATGCTCCCAGCAGCCTCGTTTATGATAACCAGAAACCAACCAGATACCATAGTCCCAGATGGCAGAATGGAAAATCATGACTGTGATACAGTCATGCAGTGGAAAAGTAGACATCACAGAAAAATCAATAGACTACAGCAAAATATCCACAGGGGCAAATACAGAGAAACATGATGTTTGTTTGTTTGTTTTCAGTACAAGGGATCAAACTCAGGACCTTGCTTTTGCAAGGCAGGCACGGTGCCACTGAGCTAAATCCCCGGCCCCTTAGAAACATGATGTTGAGTTGAAAAATGGAGTATGTTATAAAGCTTGAAAACAGGTGAAACTACATAATGCGTTCTTTGGGGAAAAAAGTGCACACATGGGAAAACTACCCCCAAAAGGCAAGAAAATTATAAATGCTATTTGGGGGAATATAACTGTCTAAGAGGGAGGTAGAGGATACAATTGGGGAGAACCCAGCCAATGTTCTAACACACATTTGTTGTATTGTTATGACTTTATGATTTTCATAAATATCACATTTTCTTCTATACTCATCAAGACTAGAATAAAAACATGTAGGATGAAAAAATTGATGACACACTTCTAGTGCATAACAGCTGATTCACTCTGCTCTGTAAATCTAAACACAACACTACATGATTTACATTATCTCATTTAGGCTTCTTGTCAGCCCTGAAGGGAACTTTGTTAACCAGCAGAGATGACCTTTATTCCCAATTTAAATAGAGGAAACAGACATCCAGAGTGTCAGGCAACTTGCCCCAGGTCACACAACTGAAAGAGACCAGCGCAAGTCTTTGTGAAGCCAGGCCGGTCCCTCACAGCCACTGGATTCCTTCCTCTCACACAGCAGGTGCTCAATTAGTGGTGGGGCTGTTCTGATCTCTTCTGATCCAAGAGCAGCACCTCCTCGTGACAAATGTCACATGCAATCTTGCATCCCTGTTGCATTAGCAGAATTCCTCACCAGCTCTCCTAGCACACAATGCCAACACTCCTGGGTGGTTTCTCTCATTCTCCTTGTGGTGCTGATACACAGCAGGAGCATAATAGATGCTTTGGTTAGGAGCATAACAGATGCTTTTGGTTTGGGTATACCTGAACTCATCCAATATGGAGTGAGCCCCAGAGGGACTTGATCCTGTTGGCTCAGGTGGGGAGCCCCAAGGCCTGGGAAGGATCATGGAGCCAGAACTCACCCCTGGGGCTGTAGCCTGGTGCATCCATGAAGGACAGGCCCAGCCGCTCATCCTCCTGCAGAGTGCTCTGGTCTGTGAAGCTCCGGTCTACAGCACTCATCATGTGTGTCTTCTCCTGGCGGTAGTTGACAGTGGCCTTAGCCATGTTCACAGGCTTCCTGCAGGGGGAGGGCGTGATGAGAGACACAGGCACTGTGCAGGGCTGGAGAGCACTCAGAGGTGGGAGAGAAGGTGCCTCAGGGCCAGGCAGCTGTCCTAGAAGCATGTGAAGATGTGAAGATGGCTCTACCTCCATCCTTCACTCCCCAAGCTGCTGCCCCTACTCACCCCCAAATGGCTGGTAGTGGCAGCCTTGGACTGGGGCCTTTTCCTAATCCTATTAGCTCCAAGGTCTCAGTTCCAAGGTCTCAGGAAATGAGGATAAAATTCTCTCTGTGCCTAATTTGCTGTCACAGCAGGCAGACACTACACCAAAACAAGGAGGAATGCTGGCCAGACTCCAGGCCCGGCACGCCTCACCCCTCACAGAGACCTGCCCTGGGAACTCCTTTCTGTCCTGCAGTGGGCATCAGGCCCTCTGGCAGGTAAGAGGCTGCTCAGTGGCTAGGGAGTCTCCCAGAATACAGTAAACTCCAGCCTTGGCTCTCATTTCACCCAGGACCCCTGGGATGGCCCCACGTAGACCATCCCAGACTTGCCAAGTAATGCAGATCTTTACTCCCCACTGCCCACCTGCCCAGCCTGCTGCTAAGAGCAGACAGGAAGTGTGAACCGCCCTCCCTCAGGCCTGGCTTCTCTCCTCTGACTCCTGAGGAATGTGCAGGACAATGGGAGGGAGGGCAGAGGGGAGCAGGCAGGGCACACAGTTCCATGATCAAGGGGTCAAAAAATGGGCAAAGAAAATGAGTTGGGGACCCCTGTAGAGGCTGAACAGTGCCCCAGTGGCCCGACCACAGGGAAGGCTCTAAAGCAAAGAGCTGCTCACCTGCTCGGCCCTACCCTGTGCAGGTGTGGGCAGAATGAGGAAGGACTTGCAGGGTATGAGAGCTCAGGGACATTGACCATCAGTGGGGACAAGAACTCCTGTCAGCCAGTTCTGAAATCAAGGGCTCTCTTGGGCAGGGAAGGACAGACTTGGGCTTCGCCCCCACGGTGGTCCAGGTTGGAGCCAAAGACCTCTCTGGGGCCAGGTCAGGAGAAAACTCTGTGGCTATGACTTCAGTTGACTACTTTGAGGTAAAAAGAGAATTGGGAGGATAAAGAGGATGAGGAGAGTGAGAGTAAAGGAACAGTAACAAGGAGAGATAGAGAGACGGGGACAGAAAGAGAGGGAGGGGTGGCCAGACACCAGCAAACCATGGGAAGACAGACAGAGGACCATGGACAGTGGACAGCTGGCCAAGCTGACTGACAAATGGCGCCCAAGAGGACCTATCCCCAAGTGAATGCTGGCTAGAGGACAGTCTCCACGGTGGACAGCAGGGCTCTGTTCCCAGCCCAGGGCTTGCAGCCTCCTTGGAAGAAGCACAAACACTGACCAGCCAGACCCACAGGGGACAGAGCCAGAAGGGACCCCGACCTTGCTGGATTCTGCATGATCTCAGAGTGAGATAAGGCTGGTGGAATTTAACACAGACATTTTCAAAAGTTCTGCATTTAGACTCAAAAATTATCTGCACAAGGCACAAGGGAGGGAGAACCACCCCATCAGTACATTCTGTAGGAGCCGAGTTGGAGCCTCAGTGCCAGTGGAGGGAGGTCTGGGTTCGGAGAAATGATGCTGAAAACTGGCATGTGAGCAGCAGGTCCAGGACAAGTGTGGAGGGGACATTGAGGCTCAGGAAGGGGACATGACTTGCCCAAGGGAATCAGCAGAGCCGGCTGACTACCAAATTGATGCTCATAGCCATGACTCGAGGAGGAAGAGGGGATAGAAGAAAGAGCAGAGAAGGGGCTCCCCAAGGCAGAGGTGGCCACAGAGAAAGGGCTGACACTAGGCCAGAGCAGGGCGAAGGAGCCCCACCAGAGGAGGATGGGGCTTCGCCCTGGGGTTCTGGCCAGGAGCGCTACTTACGGGTAGCAGGAGTAGGCGTAGTGGTCCCTCCTGGCAGCATGCAAAGAGAACAGCACAGTGTGTCTGTGGCCTCCCAGCAAGGTGGGTGAAATACACCAGCCAGCAGGGAAGACCTGCAGCTTCCTGAGCCGAGGAGGGGACTGGCCAGGGACTGAACAAGTCACAGTGCCTTCCCTGACCCGGGGGCTGGCTGGGCTTAGGTGTTGAGAACCAGGACCAGAGGCCCTTCCAGAACCTCCGTGGAGCCTACTGCTGGAATGCAAAGGTGGGCAAAGGGCCTAGGGATTGTGTAGCTGTCACAGTCATACACATATGCATACACAGAGAAATACACACACATGAACAGACACACTCATATAGATTCACACACATATATACACTCATACACGAAACATACACACTGCCATGTACTCATATGCACTCAAATGCATGCAGACACACACATGCGCGTGTATCCAAACAGCAACACAGTCACATGGACATATATTTAGAAACACATACAGATGCTCCCACACACATGCAGAGGTCCCTCCACTCCACACACCTGGGAGTCTTCTCATTCTTGCAGATGGCCCCCACCCACAAGCTCACAGCCACAGGTCGCTCTGCTCCTGAGCAGGCAGCCCTCTGTGTATACCTGAGCTGAGAGGGGGCAGGATGAAGCAGGTCCAGCTGGACAACCAGGGACAACTCATCTCCTGCCTCAACTGCTCCTGGGTGTGGGGGCCACTAAGGAACCTCTGCATGTAAAACCTCACATCACTGCAGCACACCCACAGGGAGAAGCCAGAGTAGGGCTGAACCCATTTCAAAGATGGGGACGCTGAGTTACAGGGAGTCAGGACAGAGTCCAGAGCAGGCCTCAGGACTCAAGACACCTAGCCTCGGACCCTGGCCCCAAGCCTCCTTTGTACTCCCTCCCAAGGCTCCATCAGTCCCATCAGTGCCCAGGGGTGGGCATGACTGACCTCCTAAACAATATCCTACACCTACACCCCAAACCAATCTGCCACCCCATCCCTTCCAGAACTGCTTTGTTCCACAACACCCCACAATGCAAACTGGGGGCACCTTATGAAACTCAGTGGCCCTTGAAGGCCAAGGTAGGATAAGGGATAGAGTGAAGTGCTAGAATAGGACTGAGAGGCTTTTAATGGAAATAGGAGATGCAGCACAGGGCAGGGTGCAGAGGGTACTCAAGGCTTCTGGGTAGCAACTACATAATGAAGGGTCTCCTGAGGCTCTGACAGCACCCCTAACCCCCTCTCCTGGCCAAATGCTTTCCCTGCTTCAGTGATGGGCCCCCCACAAGACAATCCTCGCTCTTTGAGGATACATTTCACCTGCATTCCCCTAACAGCATCCCCACACACACAGCCCTCTCCCTCCCCACCCTACCCCACTTACAGTAGTCACCTCCCAGGCTCCCTGCTGGGAAGAAGTACAGGGCCTTGCCAGGTGCAGGTTGCCTACTGTGAGACTTAAAGTCAGGCCTGAGTTCAAATCAAGCACTGCCACGGAGACGAGTGACATGGGAAAACTGCTTTAACTACAGTTCCTTCATCAGTTAAAAAAGAGTCAGATCTGCTTCATTTGCCAGGATCCAAGAAGGAAGTGTTCTCTGATGTATTGCAAAGCAGTGCCTAGCATGTTATAGGTGCTCACAGCTAACATACTAATGGATGGTGTGTGCAAAGGCTCCTAGCACATAGTAATTACTCATTAAATGATAATTTAGAACATTTTGTCTCATGAAGCTGTACAGGGAAGGGAAAAACTGGAGCCTCAGCCTCTAGATAGGCCATCCCCATCACCCCCACTCCACTGGCACATCCACCCCCAGACTCCCTCTCCTGCTGGTGCCTGGCCTCTCACAAGGTGGCCCTTGCCAGCTTTCTGTCATCTCCCTGGATCCTACTTATCTGCTCCTGGCAGCCTAGGGAAGCAGTGCCAACTCACCCATGTGTGCCCAGCCTGGCAGCAGCAGGAGCAAAGGAAGCCAGAACCCAGGAGGGGAGAGACGATGAAGCTGGCTCTGCCTCTGGCTCCCTGCATGACCTTAGATAGGCCTGCTACCCCCTCTGGGGCTCACCAGCCCTATACCTCAATTAAGGTGCTCAGACCACAGTGTTCCGGGCCGCCGGGAAGGGAATGAGGTAAAGGGTGGGGTCAAGAGCCCTCAACCCGCCTCCAACCAGAGCTGCTGCTCAGCCTACCATCGCTTCATGTACTGGGCTCCCAGCACAGGGTTTTGTTTTGTTTTATTTTGAAGACAGGTTCTGTTGCTTTAAAAAGATTCAAAACCACTGGATTAGGTGTCCTTAAACTACCCCACAGCTCTCTCATTCTGGGGCTCTGAGCCTGTACAATTCTAAATTCTGGGATTCCTAGAATCCTAAATCCTAGGTTTCCTAAACTCTAAGATTCTAAGTTCTGCTAGGATTCAGGCTGTCCTTGGCACAGTGCACTAAGAAACACCTAACATGACGATGAGGCTGCACCTTTGACACCTGGGGACCCTGAGGGGGAAGAGGGGTCCCTCTCAGCCACAGACCCCAAGAGGACTCCCCAGTGATCCACAGCAGCAGGGTCCAGGGCAAGCTGAGGAGGTTGGGGGGACCGGCAGAGCCATGGCTCAGGGCCGTTGGTGAGAAGGGCAGTGAGCAGCATGCCCCTGGTGAGATCAACTACACAATCACATGTTCAGGGCAGACAAATGGGCTGGAAATCTGCAGGGAACTGAGGGTTCAAAGTCAGGTCAGCTCCACATCTTCCCTACTGGAACAGCCCCCACAGGCACAGGGGAGCAGGGCCCACTTTCAGCACAGCTTCTTGGTAGGGCACCAGACACCAAGCACCTTTGCTGGACAGTAAGCAGCACCTGGCAGCCAGACCTGCACTCCAGCCATGCTGCTCCAGGGCAGCTTCATTCGCTGAGTCTCTGGCTTCCTACCGCCCAACATGGGTGCCTCCACAGGCCCAATGCCCAGGCTGTCGGCCCTCCACATACCCAGCAGGCAGCTGCCCTACCAGTCACCAACCGCACTTCTGTGTCCACTGGGCTAGAAGTCATCGGTGGACTAGGGCACAGGCCTCACTCACCCCTTTCGAATGATGACAATGATGGCCCCCAGGAGCAGGATAAGGACCGCAAGTCCCCCTGCACAGATGCCCAGGATGAGCCCCATCTCCTCTGATTTCTGGGACACCTCTAGGGGCCTCTTGCTTTCCTTGCAGGCAGCTGGGGAGAACAAAGTGGAGAGAGAAATCATCCAGCCCTACCTGCACCCAAGAAACAGACTCAGCAGCACAGACACTCACCATGGCCCAGCCTCCCAAGCCCTGTCCTGCCTTTGAATCAGATCTATCCCTCCCCATCCCTTCTGCCTTCTGCATTCCAGTTCAGTCTTCACCTCCCAGAATCAGGAGTAGCCTCTTTCCTCAAATGCTCCGCATCATTCACTCAGATAGTGTTTGTTGAGGCCTGGGGTGCAGCTCAGTGTTAGAGTGCTTGCCTAGCATGTATGAAGCCCTAGGTTCAATCCCCAGTACGCCCTCCCAGTAAAGTTTCCACACATGGGGATGGAGGACACCTGGGGCCTTCAGACTCACCTTCTTGCCCTCCTTCAAGGTGACAGAGGAAAGAATTTATGATTCAGGCATCACAGAATGGTAACCAAACACATTTCCTGTCTAAAAGAGGGATAATCCCTATACCACAGGCTCCACACTGTTCCCAGCTCTCTCCTATCACAGATACCAGAACCAATGCCTAGTAACCATCACCTTCAATGCCCAACATAATGGCTCCCTCTCCACAGGCCTGTCCCAGGGGCCTACCAGAGCCCCTTCCAGCCTGGGGGAACGGGCTCTTGAGGTGAGGCACAAGGGAGCCAAGAAACCAAGCCCTGTGTGTTCCAGGCCTGTCCCCTGCTACATGTGCTCCCACAGCCCTAGGTCCTCAGGGGAGAAGGAATCCAGCGGGACTCACCTTTCCTGGCAATTCGAATGCAATTCAGCCGGGTCTCCTAGAAGCAGAGACGAGAGGCTCAGCACCAGGGAAGGCCCATCACATCCTCCCCAGGGCAGGAAACAGGGTTTCTGGGACCTGATCAGGCCTTGTCTGGTGTAAATTATAACTAAAGACAGTCCACCCAGCAGGAAGGCCTAGGAGTGGGAATGCGGGGTACAGATGGGAAGGGCCTGAAAAATAGGGCAGAGCCTTAAGAAAAGATGAGATACAGGCAACAGAGAAACAGCCTGGGAAATGGGACAGGACCTCAGAAATGAGGGTGGGGTCTAAGTCCAAAGGTCTGGTAAGAAGACAGGGGAGGAACAATCTGTAGAGGGAGGAAACTGCAGAAGAGGGTAGCGCCTCGAGAGGAGGCAGGGACTAAGAAGGAGACATGGCCTAGGCCTCAAAATGTGAAAGCAGGAACCTGAGATGGGTTCCTCCAGGAAGAGGGTCCTGAAACAGAAGGCAGGGCCTTGGGAAGGAGCAATGAATAGGCTGAGAACCTGGAGAGAAAGGAGTATGGGAAAGAAGCTTCCAGAAGGGGACACTGCTCTGTGGGAAGGGGCTGGGAGGGAAGATTTCAAGGGAGAAAGGAGAGGCTATAGGAAGAGGAAGGGGCAGAGTATCAAGCCTCTCTGGTAAGGGTGCTCCAAGGTATCCCCATCCCAACCTCCTTCACCACTACCCTGGCCCGTCCCTCACCCCTTTCAGATGGCTTGCTGCCTGGAAGTAGATGAGATAGGACTTCCTGGGCTCAAGTGGTGGGTTCCAGAAGCCACGATATGTCTGGTTGTCACCCACCGTGAAGGGCATGGCCTCAGGCAGGCTGCTGGCCACCAGTTCAGCCCCAAAGTAGTGCACTAGGCCACGAGCTAGTGCCACCTCGAAGGTCAGAGGCACTGGGAAGCAGTCCTGGCCACCTGGCTCCCGCCGCAACCTCCTTGGCCGTTCTTCCTCCACAATCACCTGGTACACACTGGACAGGGAGGGGGACAACAAAAGTAATCACAGCAGGCTCAAGACCAGGTGAGCTGTCTGGTAGCAGAGGGAATAGGTCTTTGGGGTCAGGCCCACCTGGGGACTAATCTTAACTCTGCCCCTTACTACTTGGGCAAGTCACTTAACCTCCCTGGGCCTCAGTCTCTTCCTCTGTAAAATGAGAGTACCTGGGACATAAACACAAAACAACAGACAAGTTTAGGAAGGAGTTAGTGCATGTCAGTCCTATGTCTGTTACTAACCAAGGCTGAGGGAACCCCGGCCCTGCTCAATGGAAGCATGCCTCAGTGCTCTTCCTGTGTTGACACAGACCTGAGAAGCTAAAGCTACAAATGACTCCTCCCTGGGTCTCACAGCTGGATCCGATTCATTCATTCACTCAGAAAGTGTTTGTTGAGGGCTGGCATGCAGCTCAGTGCAGAGCACTTCCCTAGCATGTGTGAAGCCCCAGCTTCCATCCTGGGACCCCCTCCCAATAAAGTATTAGCTACACTTGGATGAAGATCCCTGTGCAGTGCATTGGGGAATCTTGGCTTCCTGAAATTGGTCACTAGTGAGAGAGATGGTCACATGGTAACACCTAATACAACAAGCCTAGTACCATCCTGCTCCTGAGCCAGGCTCTCTGTCTGCAAATCGGAATCGCTGTCTCTGAGCCCAGCCCACCTGCTGTGACTTGTGTTCCCAACTCCGGAAGTCTGCGATTCTGTTTATTTTATCACTTTACTGACAGGGCTTGTGCTGTGAACGCCTCCAAATCCTCGGTGAAACAAAGCCGAGAGTAAATATGTGAATGCTGACAAATTTAAATATTTCCCACAACAGTCTCTGTCGTATCTCACCGTGTGACATCCCATACTGACAGTTTTTGCTCTGGGAAACAAAAATGTCATTTCCCTGCTCTCCAGCTGTTACTGTTGAGCTTCCAAGTTGCAGGAGTCAGGAGTGTTGGTCACCAGCCCACTGCCTGTCACTAGCCTGTCACAAACACCACCCCAAGCCCCTCTAGGCTTCCATTTCCCTGCTGGGGTCAGGCCTCTTCCAGCCTCAACTCCCACAAAGAATCACAATTAACATTAGCCACGAGCAAAGCCCATCTTGATCTGAAATAATCCCCACTGTGCAGAAAAGGAAACACAGGCTCAGAGAGGTGAGGGACATGCCCTGGGTCACAGAGCCATCATGCCTCAGCCTTGCCACCATGTCCCACCTCTCTGCCCCCACCCAGCCTTGACCTCCCCATCTCTGACCAACCCAGCTCAGGATCCCTCAAGAGGACAGGAAAGGAGAATTTCCCAGCTCCTCCCTGAGCCAGCTGCATAAGGGCCCCGAGACTCTGACAAAATGCAAAATGCCCTGACTTTTTCCTGGGTCTCCCTTGAGGGTCTAGAAATCAGCAAGAACATGACTTTTGGTGGCAAACATGGGGGGAGATACAACAGGTGAGGAGGAGAGGAAGTAGGTGGTGAGGAGGTCAGGGTCTGCCTGGGGCCCATGAGCAACCCCACTCCCACGAAAGGCCACCACCCTCTCCCCATGGATCACCTCTGCAGAGGGAAGCAATAGACTAGAGTGGCAGAGAGGCTCTGTGACTTGCAGAAAAGGGACAAGTTTGCAAATAGACCTGCTGTCCATGTCCCAGCCCTATCCTTTATAGCTGTGCAGCCTTGGGAGCAAGTTATTGGGCTCTCTGAGCCAGTTTCCTGATTGTACCTAGAGTCCCTAGCACTGTGTGTGGCTGACAGTGAGGATGTACACACAATAGTTCAAACACCCCCATGCTCTCACACACATGCACACATCCCTCTCACACACATACCTTCATACATGCTCACACCTCCATGCCATACATCATACGTGCACACACACACACACACACATCTTTATCACAAAGACAAACCCAGGCTCATCTCTCTCGCACACACTCCCACCTCCACTCCAGCACCTTCCATCAGCAGAGGCAGCCTGATGACATCAGCAGCTCCAGCTTCCTCCCAAGAGAAGGAAGCAGAGAGGCCAAGTTCTCAGCCTACCCAGAGGGAGGCCCTATCTGACAGCTGCGTTAGCCCTCTAGAAAGCTCATCCTTGTGTCCCCAAGGACAGAGCTGGAAGGTATAAGGCCCCCAGAGTTTTGCTTCTCCAAGGTGTCTAAGGGAAGGGCCCCTGGAGAGGCCAGGACAACCCCTTCTCTAGGACAGGCACGGTCACTACCAGAGGGGACAGATCCATTGCCACAGAAGGGATGACTGCAGGCTTTCCACCTGCCTAGGATCACAGAATGTCCTCCTCCACTCTGAGCCCCAAGTGGGAGACTAAGGCAGAACAAAGGAGCCAGCAAGGTGGGGGTTCCAGGCCAGGGGAGGGGCCTCTCCCCCCGGGGTCCTGGCCTCCCATTCCCCCCTCACAGGCTTCCCCACCTGATGGGTGCACCTCGGCCCTGTGCCGGCCTCAGCAGCACGGTGATGGTGTTCTCAGACTCGCCCAGGGGCGACGGCATGTCGGCATAATCAAAGCTCGGAGCTGGGGAAGGGAACAGGGACACAAGCATGGAGCCTGGCCACTGGATCAGGAAAGCCACTATTGACCTCTGCCTTCAGATCTCTTTCCATGTAGTCTCAGCCTCTTGTTCCCTCTGACCTGCGCTTCCCCAGTTCCTGACCTTGGGCACCAACCCCTGACCTCAACCCTCTGATTCTATCAACCATAGTTTCCCAACCCCACTGACTGAATTCTCCCTGGCCCCTGACTTCAACCCCTAAATAACACCCTTATCTCAGCAGGGGTCCTCTGTAACCACCCCAGGATGCACCCATCCCTCTACCCATGGAATCCTGGGACTCTGAGCCACCTCCAAAAGAGGTCAGGCTGGGGTCAAGCGAGGTTCACCTGAGATGTTGGTGGTGATCTCGGTGAGTGCTGCCTGGCCGAAGCCTTTGCCTGTGCGGGCTCGCACGGAGAACAGGTAGGTGGTGCCTGGGTGCAGGTTGGAGAAGACATGGTAGGTCTCGTTTCGGAGCTTGGAGATGGTACGCCTCGGGCCCGGCACGTTCACCGCTGGGTCTGACGATTCAATGCTCTGGTAGCTGATCTGGGGGCAGGATGGGCAGGAAGGTGGGCACAGGATGGGGAGAGGATCACTGCAGCAGCCTCCCACCCACCATGTTCCAGGGGAGCTAGGGATCTGGCTGGGCAAAGGGACAGGCTCTGCAGGACTGTGGGTGCCCCTTGGGCCAGGCTTCTGGGAATCTTCACGTCTCCTTCCTGCCCTCAGACCCCTCTCCCCAGAATGCACAGTGCACAGACCCTGGCCACAGTTGAAAGAAACATCTGTCCACCTCTGCCCTCCTGTCCCTCCCTCTCCACACCACCATAGCAAGGGAAAGGTGCTCATCCTCCCACCTCCTACCCAGAGCCCCCATTCACCTCGTACTGGGTGATGAGGCCATTAGGCTCCTGGGGCTCCTCCCATTTGAGGAAGATCATATCCTCCAGTGGTGTGAAGGTCAAGGACTCAGCTGCAATCCCACCAGGCACTGTAAAAGGAAGGGGCAAGGGGGGAGGGAAAGCAGGCTTTGGCTCCAAATACTGGCCTTGCCTCCTCTTCCTAACTAGTTCGCTTGGACTACTCAACCTCTGGGAACTTTGGTTTCCTCATCTATGAAGTGGGGATGATGTACCCCTCCCCAACTGGAACTAAATAATACGATGTATATGAAGCCTCAAGCAGCTGCAATTCCCTAAGGTTCGCTTATTACTGAGTACTCCAAAGGACAGCTGCCATTTTCACTGCTGTGCAGGTCACCTTCAACTAAGAGGAAGGTTTTAAGGCTCCTACTTTGGCCCCAGTTGGGTATTTTTCAAAAAGCACAGATGCTTAACCAGAGAAATGAAAACAGCAATTGCATTACGTTATTAGGATTATGGGTGGAGATGTTTTCTTGCGTAAAAATATCTAATTACATAAATTGTACATTGGATGCAGAAAATCTGAGCATAAAGAAAATTAATGGCACCTATAATGGCATCATCCAAACATAAATACCACCAAAATTTTAGCATAAACACTTTTAGGCATTGTTTGGTTTTTGCTTTAATATATACTCTTTGAAGAGCTGGCATAGGAATCTTATCTAGGAAGAAAACAGTCTCCAGCTGGGAAAACACCTTGATAAACCATTGCAGGGAACCTGAAGTCCTCAGGCAGAGAGAGTAAAAGCCTACATAGCAATCGATGCTAGCTGAGCTGCTCTGTGTTAAACAGTTCACAAGGCCACTAACCACCCACCCCAATGGTAAAATGAAAAAGACAATTCCTAGTGTTGGTGAGGACACAAAGCAACCACAATTTTCACACATGGCTAGTGGAGTGTAAACTGGTACAACTACTTTGGAAATTGTCTGGCTAGATTCACTAATAATAAAAAAATACCTTAAAACCTGGCTGTTCTACACTTAGGCATAAGCCCATCAAAAATGTGTACTTCAGGGCTGGGGATTTAGCTCAGTGGTTCCGCCGCCTGCCTCGCAAGTGCAAGGTCCCAAGTTCGATCCCCGGTACCCACCCCCCCAAAATGTGTGTTTATACCAAAAAGAATCTACAAGGATTTTATTTGCATCACTATTCAAAATAGTCAAAAACTGGAAACAACCCAAATACCCAACAATAGTAAATAAGATAGATAAATAAATGTGGTCTATCATTACCATAATGAAATATACAGCAGTAAGCAGGAATTCACTAGGACTATGTAGCCCAGTCTCTCAAGCATAAAGGGGAAAAAAGAAATCCAGGCATCAAAAGAATATTCACGTATGACTCTGTTTATACAAGGTCCAAAACCAAGGAAAAATTAATCTGTGATTAAGAGTCAGGATAAAGGTTAACGTTGAGGGGGCTAATGGCCAGGAGTAGGGAGCAGGAGGGAGCACAGAGTGGGCTCCAGGGATGATGGTAATGTTTTCCTGGTCTGTGTATGGGTTCTGAAGTGTCCCGTCTGAAATTCATTGAGCTGACCCCTTAAGATAGGAATATTTCTTGTAAGTCATACTTCAATGATTTTTTTTAAATATTAAATAATAAGCAGTTATTTGAGTGGGGGAGAAGAGAAAAAAAAAGACCAACTACCAAGCGAGACCTGGCCAGGCTGGGGTGAAGTGGCCGCAACAACATGGAGGGGGTCAGGTTCGGGCATGACAACAGCAGTCTATTGTTCCACCTGAGGCTCTCTGTAACGTTTCAGGGTAATCCCCTCAGAACTTACTCCCGGGGCCAGGGATTTAGCTCAGTGGTTTCGTCACCTGCTACGCAAGTGCAAGGACCCGAGTCCGATCTCCGGTACCAAAAAAAAAAAAAAGAACTTACTCCCACTCCAAGCAAATCCTCAGCAGCAGACACATCCCCTGCCTTGGGTGAGTGGGGTTTTCTGAAGACCAAGGAAGAAACTGAATTTTGCATCTGGTTCAATGCTGTGCAAAACAGAAAACTGCATGTGTGGGCAGCAACACAAACTGCAAAGCAAGGAGCCTAAGGGGACCTGGAGACTGGCAGGAATCTAGGGAAGGCTTTGGACCTGAGATGTCATTATGTGTGACTTATAATGATAACTCTGGGGAGTAGGGGTGTAGCTCAGTGGTAGAGTATGCACATAGCATGTGCGAGTTCATACATCCAGTATCCAAAAAATAAAAAACTACAATGATGACACAAGCTAGTAGCCATATTTGAAACCCAGCTCCATTACCTATCAACCAAGTACAAGTATCTGACCTCACCTGTAAAATGGGGATAGAAATAGTATTCTACCACATAGGGTTATCACAGGGATTATACACATTAATATATAAAAAGCATTCAGAATATTGTCTGCCATTTAGTAAATTCTTAGTAAGTACTACTTGGACACATAGAACACCGTACCCGACAATGACAGAATGTAATTTTTTCAAGTATACATGGAATATTTACCAAAATTTAACCACATGCTGGGCCACAAAGCAAGGATCAAATCTCAAAGGACTGAATTTAGAGAATATACTCTGACCACAGTGGGATTAAGCTAGAAATCAATAACAAAAAGATAATTAGAAATTCTAATTACTTCAAAACTAAGCACCATGATTCTAAATGACTCTTGAGTCGAAGAAACTGTAACAGAAATTATAAAATATTTAAACTGAACGGTAATGAAGATAGGCTATATCAAAACTTAACAGCCCCAGGTGTATTGGTGCAGGGCTATACTCCTGCTTAGCATGTATGAGCCCTGGGTTCGATCTCCAGTACCACAAAAAAGCTTATAAAATGAAGTTAAAGCAAGGCTTAAATTCATAGCTTCAAATGTATGTATTAGAAATGAAGCCTTCAAATTAATGATCTAAAGAGCTCCCATCTCAAAATCCTAAAAGAATAGCAAATCAAATCCAAAGATAATATTAAAAGGAAATAAAGAAAAGAAAGTAAATGTACAATAAAGAAAATCAAGAAAGCTCAAAGTTGGCTCTTTGGAAAAATTAATAAAATTTATATACCTCTAGAAAGCATAAATAAGAAAAAAGAGAGAAATATAAATTAACAATATCAGAAAACCAGGTCTGGTGGTGCACACCTGTAATCCCAGCACTCAGAATGCTGAGGCAGGAGGATTGCCATGAGTTCAAGGCCAGATTGGCCTACAGAGTCATTTTAAGGTCAGCCTGAACTGTACAGCAAGACCCTGTCTCCAAAAACCAAAAACTTGGGGCCGGGGATTTAGCTCAGTGGTTCCGCCACCTGCCTCACAATCACAAGGTCCGGAGTTCAATCGGTGGTACCAAAAAAAAAAAAAAAAACCTAAAAATGTATCAGGAATAAGAAAGTTTATGATATTATCAATCCTATAGACATTAAATAAATATAAGATTATAAACTTTAAGTCAAGACATCTGACAATTTAGATAAGCAAATTCCTTGTAAAACACAGTATACTAAAACTGATACAAGAATAGAAAATCTGAATGTTCCAGTATCTATTTTAAAAATTAAAACTATTCTTAAAAAACATTCCCACAGAGCTCGGGATTTAGCTCAGCGGTGCCGTTGCCTGCCTCCCAAGCTCAAGTTCCTGAGTTCGATCCCCGGTACCAAAAAAAAAAAAAAAAAATTCCCACAAAGGTTGGGGGATTCAGCTCAGTGGCAGAGCACTTGCCTAGCAAGCATGAGGCCCTGAGTTTGGTCTTCACCATGGAAAAATTTAAAATAATAATAATAATGTCACAAAGAAAACTCCAGTACCAAACAGCTTTACTGATGAATTCTTCCAAACATTTAAGGAAAAAAATTATACCAATCTAACCTAAAATCTTCCACTAGAATAAATACTAGTGATTATTATTAATACAGCTGATTTAATCTTAAGCAAAAAACTCCCCAGGGGCCGGGGATTTAGCTCAGTGATTCTGGCACCTGCCACGCAAGCACAACGTTCTGAGTTCGATCCCCGGTACCAAAAAAAAAAACTCCCTAGACACAGTTCAGTCTGGGACCTGGGGTGTGTGGGAGGCACTCAGCGACCTGGGATGGCACTGGCACCCTTACCGTCCTCGTCGGTCTGGAAGGTGACCTCCTTGCCCTCCTTGCGGCCCTCGGGGTTGGTGAGGACCAGGCGCACGTGAACGTTGCGGTAAGGTAGCAGGTTCCGGATGGTGTAGCGGCTGGCACCCCGCTCCATCTTCACACATTCACGGATGGTCTGGTTGTGGTTGCTGCCCGGGGTGTAGTGATAGCAAAGGGACACAGTGTAGGTGTGGCAACGTGTCACGTTGTACCCCAGGGGCTCCCACTGCAGGGTCAGCTGGCGAGCCTGGATCTCAGCGAAAGCCAGGCCTTTGGGGGCCCTCATGGGCTCTGGGGAAGCCAAGAAGCAGAGAAGGTAGAAAAAATGCAAAGAGAGAAAGAGGGACAGAGAGAGAGAGAATCAGTCAGCTGCTGGAAGTCACCTCCTTCCAGAGCTCAAGGGACCTGGAATTGAACTGCGGGTAACACAGCAAGTGCTTTGGATTCAGCCAGGCCACATCTGAATCCTGCTCTGCTGACCACAGCTGGCAGCCACTTCCTGAGTCTCGTCACTTCTCTGACCTCAGGAAAGGCTGCAGGGTCTCTAACAGTGATGGTGATATATGCACAGCTTGTGTGACAATAGCTAACACAGCCCTCAAAAAATGTTAGCTATAATATTTATTCTTTTTTTTTCAGTACCAGGGATCAAACTCAGGACCTTGCACTGGGAGGCAGGCACAATATAATATTTATTCTTAACAGCACAGTTTATTTTCTAATTCAAGATCATCATGGACTACATTGGGCCAGTCTGAATCAACCTTTTGCTGTATTTTTCCACACTTATTGTGAAATGGTTTTAGTAATACAGTTGATACAATAATATATAGAAACCAGGATGATGGGGGAATGAGAGCCAAATAGTAATTAAGCCAGAGAATGATTGGGAAACAGAAACAGAAATGCAGACCATTATATCCTATGTGAGGATCTAAAGATAAAATCCAAATTCAGTAGTGAGTTCCCTGGCTGCCAAAGCAAAAAGAGAAACATCTGTTATAAAATGACAATGATGACAGTTAACATTTGGGGGAGCTCTGGCTGCATCAGGCATTTTTCTAGAGGCTTTAAAATG